AGATGAACAATTTATTTCAAAGGCTCTGCTCTGTTCGATCCTTTCTGTTGTCTAGAAAGAATCATTACTTATTTGCGACGGGTAGTTTTCATTTTCGCACCGGACAAGCCAAGTTGAGCCAAGCCAACTTTTACTCGATACATTTTCTAGAAGTTCGACACTTCCCTGGAAAAACTGACAACAAACCGCTTCCTGGAGTTTTTCTTGAAGTTTCTCTCCCGCTACAATAGACTTTCAAAACAGTCCTTTGTCCGATTTTTATATGGCGCGGGACCTCTCGCTACTTTGTCGCTCGCCTGACCGCTTCACGGCCAAAAAAGCTTGTCCCGCTCGCTAAGAAACCCGTTAAAATCGATTCCGCAGTGGTTTCAATGGTTTTTCTGGAGCTTTGTCATCTTTTAGCGATTTTTCTTGATTGCGAGTAGTAGCCCTCGTCGCTCTCTGCTAATTTCGAAGCCCACTCTTTGCAAAACGATTTTGTCGTCTTCTTTCGGCTTGGAGTGGTGTACGAAAACGGACAAGCTTTTTTTTCTTCTTTGGAGGCATTCACTTCCAAAATCCAAGGAAAAACAGTGAGTACATACTTGTATATTAGCTTGGTTCAAAAGCGACATGCGTATCAAGTATGACAGGACTTGTCAACGATCAATTAAAAGTAATTAGCATAGAAAAAACTTTTGCGCTCCATAAGTCTGCACAGAAAAAACATTTTTTCCTGGGATTTTTTTTTTAAAGAAAGCTCTTGATTAGCTCTATTTAATCATTTAAAAATTGCAAATTTCGAAAACTTATGAATTTTTACCCTGGATGATACCTTAATATAATTAACAATTAATGAATGAGGTTGAGATCTTATGAAGAATTATGGAGATCGAGGAGGGTGTTATATTTATCCGTCGAGGCCGTAGGCCGAGGCGGATAACACCTCCGAGATCTTCATAATTCTTCATATGATACGAAAGCCGAATTCAATAATTGTTTTATTATTCATTCAAAATAATTCCTAGTTTAAAAACGTAGCTAAAACAAGCTTACCTGTAGCGATGTTAAGTTTATCTTCAATAGTTTACGTTTAGGTTTCTCCAGCTCCGCAAATATTCTCCAAATAGCAGATGTCGCCCTCCGAGTTGTCTTCTTGCTGTTTTTGCTATGTTTTTAGCCATTATTTCGCCTAGTTCCAGCCGTAGTTCTCACTCTTGAAATGAGTGAAGTGTCCGCCATTTTAATTTTTACAACGAAAACAACTCAATCTCGTCCACAGGTCTTCTCGGTTAACGGTGCATTAACCTGCAGAAGTCTGCATTTTTGACGTCATTTCCTCGTTAAACACAAAATTCTTCCAAATTTGGTCATCAGTAACTGGTTATGGTGTATTATGGGTGTGCTTTCAGCCAATCAGAATTGGGGAAATATTTTGAATGAATAATAACGTCACCTAACTTATCAGTTAACTACTTATTTTTTGGCCAGTTATCAGTCACTACTGTTTTTGAGGCCAATCATCAGTTAACTACTAGCCCTAGTGGTACCCTCTTGGTTTCACGCTTTTGTTCGCCAGAACCAACTTGGCTGTCGTGACGTCAGCTGAAAATATGGAATAGATACAGTAGAAACTCTACTCGGGGGACGGCACCGTCGGGACAAGGCCAAGTGCTCCCTGAACAGAGGTGTCTCCTGAATGGAGGTTGTGCTGGGCGTTTGTATATTTTATGTATATTAAATTTTACCTTGGAATCTACTGCGGCCGTTATTTCACCCAGCTAGATAATGTACAAAAAATCAATGATTAACCTATCACTGCGATGATGTGTGCTGAAGTCCCACAAATGCAGTACATCGATTTTTTAGTGAATAAGTTCATGTTTTGAAAGTAGTCGCCATTGTGACCACTGAAAACTAAGACTTAACAAGGATTTTTGTGGTTAGTTAGGCCCGGTTCAGACGCCGAACTTTTCATGAACCGAATCTAATTAGAATTAAGGCCGACCCAAATTATTTAGACTGGCTAAAGTGATTCAGACGCCGATCTTAGTTCCAGCCGAACTAAATTCAGAAGGCGAAAAATGCACATTTCGGTCAAACTGCTTACAAAATACGTTATAAGAATTTCTGCATTTGGCTCGGTACATGAAAGGTTCGGTGTCTGAATCAAAGGCGTTCCAAAGTCGAAATTCCCGGCCGGGCTAGGCGAAAAGAACGGCTGAGCCGTTCCAAATTGAAACAGGCATTCCTAATTGATTCAGACGCCGAACTTTTCATGTACTTAATTCAATGTATTAGGTTCGGCTCATGAAAAGTACGGCGTCTGAACCGGGCCTTACCTTTTGACTGGTAAGGTGTACCCTGAATAGACGTTGAATCCAGAATCGAAAAAGAGACCCTTTGCCATGAATAGAAGTGTCCCTTCACCAGAGGAAACAAATACAAAGATTATGTCAACATTTTTCGGGGACCAAATGTTGTGTCCCCCAAATGGAGGTGTCACTTGAATAGAGGTGTCCCAAAGGATAGGTTCCACTGTATATGCATCATAAAATTCTGTTAATTATGCAAATGGTTTATTTGAGGTTTACACGAAACATTGCTCACCTTTTCTATTTTACTTTTAGATATTTCGCAATAAACAAAGAAATGAAACAAGGCTATCGCAACCTGCCACAAGTGAATAGTGACGAAGAAACAGTCTTGAACTGCAGTCCTCGGACGCCGAAAGTTCTTCAGATGATGAAAGCGTTTCAAGTGAGAACTATGTAGAGACTGAAAGCGCTGCATCTCCGCCTGAAGGGACATCCTCGACATGGAAGGCAACAATGAACTTGATAAACTTCATCGAAGGGGTTGAATTGCTTGCTTTGCCGTATTCTATCAAAAAAAAAAAAAAAAAAAAGGTGGAATCACGGCTGTGATATCACTGTTTTTACTGCCAATTATCACCTGGTACGCAGGTAAAGTGTTAGCCGAGAGTTTGTACGACAGCGACGAGAAAAAAGGAAAGATTCGAGCAAGATCAACTTGGAAGGAGATAGGAGACGCGATATATCCTAAATATGCAGGTAAAATTGTCGCATGGACTCAAGACATTGGTTTTGTTTTTATAGCAGTCAGTTATCTAATTCTCTGTGGATCTCTCACCTCCCACGCCCTACCAACAGTACCCCTCTCGCAAACTTCCTGGACCTGCTTCGCTGCACTGCTTATTCTACCAACAGTGTTTTTGAAATCGTACTCCCAGATTGCATGGCTAAGTACTATTAGTATAGTCGCCATTGGTCTAACTACAGCACTAACAGTATGGTATGGCGTTAAAAATATAGGGAACTGGGATCCCGGTACACTTTTGTTTTGGGACTTCGAAGGAGTCTTCATTTCGTTGGGGATCGCTTTGGCTAGTTACGGCGTGGCCAAGATCATTCCTTCGGTAGAAAAAAGTATGAAGAATAAATCGGACTTTGGAAAAGCGTTGGGTTCGGCATTTGCTGTATCAGTTGTAATTAAAGTGATTATTGCAGTCTTTGGATTTTTGACTTTTGGATCCAAGACAGATGAAGCCATTGTTAACAATTTTCCCGCTGGACCACTAAACATAACCGCTTCTATAAGTCTCGTTATCAGCAGCCTACTCTCAATCATACTTTGTTTGAGACCTGTATGTGAATCTCTCGACGAATCGACTTTTTCCAGAAATAACCTCTGATATTTCCAATACCATACGTAATATTATAACTCGGGTTTCGTTGGTAGTCATCACACTGGCAATAGCTATTTTTCTACCACACACTTCGCGCTCATAGGAGCTCTTATGGGATCTTTTCAGATGGTATTTACCGGTTTTGGATTCCTTTATTGGTGCATTTAAAGGTAAAGTACCACGAACTCAGCAGATTGCAGATTTATGCTGATGTTATAGTCCTGGTATTGTCAAGCGCGTTTTCTGTTTTGGGCACTTACTTCTCTTTAAAGGGTCTCGTTCAGGCAGGCTTGAACAGGTTTTAGAAAAGCGCTTTCCTGTCTTTTCACTCTTTCAACTATAACCCACGCGCGGCAAATCTATGTAGAAGTTATTGCGTAGTTTACTTGGCTATCCATTGACTGTCTACAACAGGCGAAACAATCCTCTGTGCATTTGCCTAAGTCGAAAGTTGTTACTGATAATGTGGAGATTTTCGAGCACAAGAACTTCATAATTTGCTCTTAATAACATGTTAAGTGATAACAAAATTTATAATTATCAATGAAGGCTACTCGAGGATCAGGGAAAGATCCTTTAAAATGGAAGTATCTCAGTGACCTATAATTTACAATAGAGCAGCGAACCTGATTATTATGCGAGCTTCAGCGTAGAGGTGTAAACGAACGAGTCACACCGAAAAGCTTGTTACCAAAGTGTACCTTAACACTCGCCTTATAAAGATCAGAATCATTCTGATTGTGAACCTTTTTTTCAATAACGGACAATTTCGTAATTTTTACAAAGTTAAAACGAGGTAATTTTCTCAAACGAGCTTTGTGTGTGGAGTGAACAGCTCTTCCATTTCCCTAACTTATTGAAAACTACAGTAACTAAACCAGTCTCCTCCCCAGGCGTTTTCGCGCTATTCGAGTGACCGGGGGAGGGGGGGGTGGGGGGTTTGGGCCTTGGAACCGGGCGCGATAGCGAGGCCGCCCCCGGCGAATTCTCCCGACAACCTTGACAGGTGACGTCAAATTTGCAATCGCCGAGGACGACTGGGAACGAGGCTGTAACTAAGCGTCTCCAACAGCGTTCTTTAAGGCCAATTTTCTTCTTCGAGAGTAAGATTCCCGTCCGTGACAACGAGGAGTTTGAAGGTGGGTTTGATTGTTCCCCGGTTCGTTCTTAAGAAGAGACGACGGTGAGATAGTTCACTGGTTACCAATTTCTCTTAAGTATAGTGTTGCGCGTGGGGGAGAAATCGGCTGGCACTGGCCTTAAGAAAGGCACATAATTCCCACTGCAAAGTCAGATAAACTGACAAACGATATTAGTGATCTTCTTGTCCTTCTTCCCATTCCTCTTCATTTTCTCCCGCATCATCCCCCTGTTCACCCTCGGGCTGTCCGCGATAACTTAGAGTATTAAGCAGTTCTCTCATAGCAACCATCAGATTTTCCACGCCCCGCGCGAGCTCTGTATCTCGTAAAGGCCTGGGCCCTCCCTCTGCTCCTTCCACGGGCTGTTCAAGCCTCATTTCTAAACGTTCGCGTTGTCCGTCAGCAGTCTGGGAGTAAAAGAAGGAGAAGCGAGCGGAAAAACATAGACAAAGCACCGCCATGTTCTTCTTCACGAGGTAGGTTTCTGAAAGAACAGTTAAAAAAAAAAAATCGTTTAATCTCGCGCTTTTTAAGATGGGAAAAGGCGGATTTAGAAAAGACGACGACGGCGCGCACAGATCTAAAAACCCACTTGACCACTTGACCAGTGGCAGAGGGGCAAACAGAGCACCGAAAATCGCTTTCAGCAAGTTCGGCATAAGCCAATACATTTTCATTCCCAGGGTCCTCTCCTAATCGGCTCACGGAGCGCGAGGTAAGGCTGAATAAGGGAGAACCATGGGAACGAAGTTGTAGCCAATAACCCGTACCAAGCAATTCGTGCTAAGGCGTTTAAGTCCTTAATAAAAGTTGCGTTGACTTTGCTAAATCCGCCTAACACTCATTCAAGGGCGTAATAAAATAAACAAATTTTCCTCTTACCTTCGTGGTCGCATATACCCTGCAAACGAATCGCGAGGTGGCAAAGGGTCATAAGACAAAAGAGGAACATTCGCCAAGTCCTGAAATACAGATAAAATAAAACTTTCGCTTCAGTCGGAAAGGGGTGTTCGATTGGTATTTGAAAGCAGGGCCGAGTTACAATGATGATAACCCCAGACCATAGTTAGTAGAGGACTACTGGTTATGAAAGCCGGCAAACATCAAAGACGAAATGTTGGACGCCCCTGACCGTGCACGATACTTTTTTTTGTTCAGAGATTGTGACTTACTAAATGATATTGAAAGTTGTACACGGTCAGGTCCAAAAAAGCTTACAATACATATAACAAAGGAGTCTAACGGGCTTCATAATCATTCCACTGTATCAACTATGCCCAGACACTGGGCTAGTTACCACGACAATTAAACAACCTAGTTCCCAGGCTCCTTCTTGAAGGAGGAGGAGAAAGGAACCTGGGAACGAAGTTGGACAACACATTTGCTCTGTTTGCAGTTATTCCAGGATAAGAGCTAACTTGTCCTCCAATAGTAAGCAAGATCTATGGCACGACCTGGTTTTGGATCAACGGAAAGCAGAAAAGCCCAATGGCGAAGTAACCGGAGCCATTTGCCACTTTGGAAACGAGGGGAATCTGGGACGAGTTAAGTTTCACAAAGACTTGGGACTGTCACTAGGGACAGGGAAAAATTTGACCAATAGCCGACCGGCGACCTGCGCATGCTCAGTAACGATCCCAGAAACAATTACGGGACGTATTTCATGTCCAGTTCCCATCTCGTTTTGAGCCACCAAACTGTACGTATGAACGAGTTAACTTTCGCAAAGACCTCTGGGACTGTCCCTAGGGACGGGAAAAAAATTGGCCAATGGCTGACCGGCGACTGGCGCATGCTCAGTAACGGTCCCAGAAACAAATTACGGGACGCATTTCATGTCCAGTTCCCATCTCGTTTTTGAGCCACCAAACTGTACGTATGAACGAGTTAACTTTCGCAAAGACCTCTGGGACTGTCACTAGGGACAGGGAAAAAATTGGCCAATGGCTGACCGGCGACCGGCGCATGCCCAGTAACGATCCCATTTCGATCGCATTTCGGCTCCAGTTCCCATCTCGTTTCTGAAGTGCCCAATTAGAAACAAAGCCTTTCTTTTAAGACTTAAGTTCAGAGAAGGCTTAAAAATCTAAAGAGGCGAAATCCTCAACAGTCAAAATTATACATTCCTGGGGTCAATTTAATAAAACTTTCACAAGTGTAATTTACAATTATAGCTTTTGTTTTCAGTCCCTACAACAATAGCTACACTTGTAAATTACACTTGTAAAAGTTGAATTAAATCGACCCTTAGCCTCAGTAATTTTAGACAACTGACAATCCAAAGTGTGACACTTGTTTGTAAGAAAACTGGCCACCAAACTGTGCGTATGAACGAACAGCAGCAAGGCCTGAAGGCACTCAAAATCAAAAGAAAGCAACGTGACATAACTTACCATGGGAAGAGAAGCTGTGGCGTCCTTAATATCTACAAAAAACGAAAAAGGCATTTAGCAGTCTGTCGAAAATGACGTTGACCTGTTGTTGTCGGAAATGACTGAGTTTTCGACAACCTGAACGAAATTCATCTTCAGAGTGTTGAAATTGTTAATTGTTTAAATATAGAGAGACGGCGACTAGACTGCAAAACAGTCGGTTTTTTTTCTCAAAGTCAGTAAACAAATCGGTAAAGCGTGGCGTAAGAGTCTTAGTTACCCCTCCCCAGTCTCGCTCTCTGTTTTCAGGCTCGTTCTAGACCTTTTGTTTGACTGCTCGCGCGTACTTGAATACGCATACATACGCAAAAATACGGACTGTTTTGCAGTCTAGACGGGGACAGAATCCTACTCCAGCTAAGGAGTTTAACTCGCTGACAGAAGGTTATCAACTATACAACTGAACACACAGCAACTTGACGAGGAAACCGGTCGTTTCGATGCAAGTCGTTTCAGTGCGAACTCAAGCAGTACAACTACAACCAAGCCAAGGACGTGAAACTATTTACACGTCGACTGGATCAACTTGTATCGAAACGACCTGTAACCCTTGACAGTGTTCAAGGCATTTTATTTCGTTACGGTTATATGGGGTTGAAAAGTGAACAGATCTCGGGTATTACAGGGTTTCCTTTAACAAGCATATCATGTGGCACAAAATCAGATGTCCGATATCAGTCGACATCCTGCTTCCGATTTGATATCCGTCATCGAATATGTCACGTGGTGCGCAACAGAAATTTGTTAGTCTTTGAAAAAAAAATAGTTCGAGTTTATCTATGCAAAATCAATGGAAACCATTTGATTACTGAGACAAATAATCGCTTTTTAATTCCAACAAGCACACTCACCTGACATCAAAATGTGCCGGTAAACATTTCGTGGTGTTCCCCTGTAACGTACTTGTCGCCTAGAAACAGAGATGAATAGAATCAACTACAAAAATAGAGTAGGTTGAACGAACCTAGTTTAGTGACCTTTGCTCCCCACATATACAGTATCTGGAGACTAGTAACCATGGCCCCGGTTGTTCAAACGTTGGATGGCGCAATCCAGCGGATAGTAATGGGGAAACTAATTACACAAACCACTGGACAGAGATTTATCTGGCCCCGGTTGTTCAAACGTTGATAGCGCTATCCACCGGATAAATCACTATCCAGCGGATAAGTAATAGAGAAACTAATTGCGTTATCCTCTGGATAGAGATTTATCTGGCCCCCTGCTTGTTCAAACGTTGGATAGCGCTATCAACAGGATAAATCAGTATCCAGCGGATAGTATTGGGGAAACCAATTGCACCAACCACTGGACAGAGATTTATCTGGCCCTGTTTGTTCAAACGTTGGATAGCGCTATCAACAGGATAAATCACTATCCAGCGGATAAGTACTGGGGAAACCAATTGCACCAACCACTGGACAGATTTCTCTGGCCCCGGTTGTTCAAACGTTGATAGCGCTATCCACCGGATAAAAATCGGTTCAGTGGATAACGCAATTAGTTCCCAATACTTATCCACTGGATAGTGATTCATCCGGTAGATAGCGCTATCCAACGTTTGAACAACCGGGTCCTGGTAGATAGCGCTATCCAGCCTTTGTACAACTGAGGCCAGAAGGTCAAAGGTTCGACTCCTATTGGAAGTATCTGATTTTTTCTTCCGAGCCGCCTGAGTCACTGACTGAATCGAACATCTTTCTTATGTATTCACTAGGCTTAAAATTCACCACCACATTTCCATCAGTTTTATCCCGTTTTAACGTTTTTACTGTTCGCCTAATTTGCAGAATGTAGAGACAAAAAGTAGTTTGAAGGCAGTTTTAGCGACAACAAATGTTGATACGTATGTCCACTAAATGTATACGAAATTTCTTATCTACAGTTTGAATATGATTTTATCACTCCTTGATGAGTTTCCGCGTAAATAATACCCTATTTTACACAAAACAACCTGATTTTTATTTCCTGACAGACTTGAAGGTTTGAAAACTATACCCTTTACGGGGATGATGTGAGCTATAGACGAAGTCAATACAGTAAGTAATGGTTAAGTAATTGCTATAGAGCAAGTTCAGTGTTAAGTTCTTTGTAGCGTAACTTGACAGCCGCCATTTGGCGACGCCATTACTGGTATCGCCGCGAAATGACCTCTGAGAAACAAGCGCAGAAATTCTATACTGGTCACGTGTCATTGCCCAGATATGAGTCGTACTTGATAGCCTGCGAACAGCAGACGCATTTCCGGTCGCCGCTTCTCTACGCAGACGCTATTTTTCGGAGGGACAGAAGACGACCGAAATGCGTCTGCTGTTCGCAGGCTATACTTCCTGATTGGTTAAAGCAAATTTCCCTCGTGGTGTGACCAATCAGAGACACTACCCAGACCTGGTTAGTGTCGCGTCATCAGTCTGGAATTTCTGCGCTCGTTCCTTGACGTCATTTCGCGGGGAAACCAGTGATGGTGTCGCCAAATGCCGGCTGTTTTCTCAGCCTTTGTAAACAACGCACATGCTTCTTACAACAACACATACCCTTATAGCTTATATGAATAGTGTTATCCTCTGCAGGTTGATGGTTCAAGTTAGTGTTAAAGGTTTACACAAGTACACGAAACTAAAAAGCTGTACTTACTTTTGCTGCTACATTCTGTACAAAGGATCCTGGGCCTCGACTCTTTTCTAAAACTATTCTGACATTCACCGCAAGCCAATCAATAACCTAAAATGAAACAGGACAAAATTATTTGTTAGTAGGTGCTTCATTGACCAGTGGTGATCGGGGCTGAAGTCGTGTGAAAAATACCAAAACTAGATTATCAGTTTCCACTGAACTGTTAGTGGGAAAGTTTTACTCAAAACTAAATTAAAGTACAGTCACAATCAAGACGTCCAAATACCAATACAAAGTAAACCCAAGCTTCGTAGAGGTTTAGATTTACACTCTGCGTTTTACTGTGATAATACATAAAAGGCCAGTTGTTACCCGTTCAAGGTAATATACTTGAAAAACCTGATAGCGAAAATTTATATTTTACAAAATACGTTTGGCGTTTGCGAATTTTACAAAACCAACAAGTCCTAGGAAAATTATACAGCAGGTTAAAATTGAAAAAGTGACTTATTTTTTAACAGAGGTTAAAGCAGTTATTGTCCCGGCCCGTCTCACCTCTGGTTCCTTCCAAACATGGTAAGTTCTACCAATGTACAAACCTTCCAGTTGCTTTAGAGCAAGAGGATCACTATAGGTCAACATGAAAAAAACAAAAACAACAACAACAACATTAAAAACTAGTGAAGGTACCGTGAACAGGCCAGAACACGTGACGAACCCCTAAGAACGTCTGCGTGGGAGGCTACAAAATCGTGCACCTTTGTTTTGCAAAAATTTCTGCAAAACGAGTTGAATAGCGATGTTGCGCGTTTTATCTCCCACGAATCAGAGCTGTCTTGCAACAAATCAGGTTGTTGCAGGTTGCAGAAAGTAGAGGGTAGTTCTACTTAGTGCAACAAAATCGCACATGTTTCGCGTTTTACCGGCCCTAGGGAAACTTGTTTTTTGCAGCCATTGACGTAAATCCCGCGTATGGCGTGACTCCCGCGTAATTCTAGCAGTCACGCAACCTGCAAACCTGATTTGTTGCAAGAGAGGTTTGATTCTGTGGTGATGAAATGGGCAATACAGCTTACCACTCGTTTTTCAGCAATGTTAAAAAAAAATTGTGCGTTTTTTTTCACCCGTTGGTGGAATATTAAAATTAGAAAATTTGGGCGATTTACTCTACCTGTTGAATGACACGGGAGAAAAGAATTGATGATTGATTAGCGAGGAATCCAACACAACATTGCATTTGTCCATTAGAGGAGATAAAACCTACAAAATTTAACGCAGTTGTAAGCACAAACCAACAAACATTCTATCATTCCATTATTTAGCTGGTGCAGACTTCAAATTGAGCCTGTCATCATCATTTGTTGTCATTAGTTATAATAGTTTTACCTGTTTAGGTTCCAGTCTTTTTCTAGATGTTAAAATTTTACTGTAATCTTTTTAACCTTCACTTCTGAAGATGTATGTTGTTACATACGAAACGTCAAGTCTTTCAAATCTAAGTTTTTTTGCAACATGCGTTGTTTCATCATGTTTGTTACCTCAGTTTGTGTTTTATTTTTACCGAAGTTGAAATGGCCGAAGAATAAGAGCTCCATTTAAACTAGCTCTGCTAAATTGGATGCCCCTGGATAAATATTGAATTAATAAAAAAATAAAATAAAATAAGAGTGTTCACTCAATGTGGTGGCAGTTTTCACGGTTTGAATTTCGACTACATTTCGTGACACAGTTCTCCTTTAAAAAACGTCGTATTCGAATGAAAAGAAAAAAAAACATGACCGTTTAGCCTGCTTTTTTAAAGAAAACTGGTGACTGGATTGTTCTGGTAGTTAATTTAATGGTTTAGACTATATTAATTTCATGAGAAATTGCTACCACTTACCGATGGAAACATAATTAAAGCTGTCTGAAGCTGCAATGTGAATAAAAGATAATAAAAGTAAGCATGAGCACCTTTGTAATCTAGTGTAAGCCTACGACATCAGACAACTCGGCCCCCGGGTATCACGCCCCAGACTATTAACCCCCAGTTTCAAGATGATTAGCCTCTGCCCCCGAGTTTTTCTTCCTCCTTTTTACTTTTTGCTTTCTAATAACTCAGGGCTAATCGTTGAGAAATTGGGGGCTAATTTTCAAAGGATTTGGTAGCCAATAGTACGGGGTGAATTGTCCGGGCGGCGAGTTGTCCTGGATCCAATGTAGTTAAGCACATTCTGAGAATGGCAGAGAGGACCATCGACTATCATCAGGACCATTGTTAGAATGACCTGGATGGCAGCAAACTGCTAAAATTTATATGGAAATGGGCAAGGCTCAAGAGAAGATAACAGTGGTTTGGAAATGTTTTACTTGGAGCTTAGTAGAATTACTCACAACAAAAAAGGACTTATAGAAAGTCTAGGAGTGTGGAAGTGATTCTGTTCAAAACTAATAATAAAAACAAAAACTATTACATGTGCACATTGAAATACACTATAACCGAAAGGAACTTACCATTTCATCTGCTTTTTGTGTTTCAGTAGTTTGTTTGCTGGCATGGAAGTAGGCAAGAGCCACAGAGAAGGCAAAATTTGGAAGCTGAGACAGGTTCCTGTGAGACTAAAAGCAAGAAAAGAAATTCTACGGAGTTACTTTACTGTATTTAAAAGAGAATAAACGAGGACTGTTGAACGAAGTCAGATATTTATACCTCCCACTCTTCAAAGAGTCTGATGAGGAAACTAAACTGCTCAGATCTTAAGGCATAAAAATCAATCATAAGTAAAACTCCAAGGGGGTCTTCTTCTGGATCCATGCTGAAAGAAAAAAAGGCAACCACATTAAACTAACAGTTGTCACATTAAGATCTAGAAAGAGAGTGTAAACGTTAAAGTGTTTTTACACACCGAACCTCACGGAAGTTAAGCAGTATGTTAGATTTATGAAATTTCAAGAAACCAACAATATCAATGACGGCAATTGGAACTTCTGAGAAATGGCAGAATCATTGCAACTCTAAAATTCTTTTTTAATGAACAAGTAGAGTCGGTATTTCCAGAGGTTTAACCCTTTAAGCACCAAGATCCACATACAAATTCTCCAGACCAATCTCCATACATTTCTTTTAAGGACAGTTGAGAGAATTTGGTTTAAGATCAAAGCATTCTTCCTTTGGTAATCAATTTAGTAATTCTCATAACCTTTACTTTTGATGATGGAGTTGGGACCTCAAATGAAACATTTAAGTATACAACACTCAGAAAGATGAAGACTGCTGGCATTACACACTTTCAGTTTTTTATTACAAGACATGTGTAATTCATTTGTTAAAATAGCAGTTGGCCTAGTATTTTCACTTTGTTAACCCTTTGTGTCCCAACAGTGACCAACATCAATTTTCTCCTAACAATATCCAAACAATGTCAAGAGATTAGGTTATGACAATTGACAAAATGATCACCTAAGAGACAACGCTTTCATCTTTTATCAAATTCTCTATCCATGAAGGAAATGTATAGAGATCAGTTTGGAGAATTTGTATGTGGATATTGGGGCTTAAAGGGTTAAACCCTTTTACCTAAGAAGAAGCTTGCACAACTCCAAAGATGTTCTGTAGCAGCCTAAAATGAGAAAAAAAGAATGACGTCAACTTGTAAGGCATGACAATGCAGACTTCACAGTAACAGGGCACTTTAATTACCTTTTTGTCCAACAAAGATGATTTGACGAAACAGAGCAATAAAGAAGGACCTAAAAAAAAAAATGAATACATGAGATCTTGCTAACTAGTGGCAAATTATTAAAGAAAGATGAACAGGTTTTAGCACTGCAGTATCGTCTAAAATTATATTTCAGTACTTTTTACAATGGAAGCCTAAATAATAGTGGTAAGGTACTAGAAAATTGTTGTCATTATAATCGGCTTACATAGAACCAAAAACTGGAATTGGGTTTCAAGGATGAATAAAATCTTCATTTCATTTCTTCTACTTCCATCAGCCTCGGAGCCAAGTACTGGGTATGGATTTTGATTATTTGAAAGTGACCTACACTTATTTTACTTCCTTTATCTAATAAATTATTATTAAAACAAGAAGGTTATTTAATATGTCACCTGTTTTCTGCCCTCCTGTAGTCAAGTCTTGTGTAGCCCTGTGTGAGACTAAACACAGTGTGAAAACTTCTTTCAAGACAATACAGGGCTCTTTCTGAAATAAAAATATATATATATAATATAAATCAGGAGACAATAAGGTACGCTCACAATGCCAAAATTGATGTTTACTTCATCTTTATTATATGGTTCTTGGCAGTGAAAAAAGGTGCTGTAACCTTTGAGCTTTATTGAGTACTACCTTAAGGAAACTCCTGGATATATAAATATACAGGGGAAGTATTATTGAAGTTCAAACTCTATTACAGTGCAGGCACTCAAACTTGGACACTTGAAAAAAGATTGTCCAATCGCAACGTTTTCTGAAAACAAAAGAATCCCAAGTTGTTTTGCAAATGGACCAACAACATTCATAAATCTGAGGGCCATTTCCTGAGAGGTCAAGTAAGTTCAAATGGTTTAAAGTTCACATCAGTTGCATAGTTTAATCTTTACTTTTATTGGTCTGTTTGCAAAAAACTTGAGAATCTTTGGTTGTCAGAAAACGTTGTGATTGGACAATCTTCTTCCAAGTGTCCAACTTCGAGTGGCTGCACTGAAAGCAGGGATCCTTGGAAAAGGGATGAGTGGCTGCTTCAAAAAGGTTGGTCGCTTTACAGAGATGCTGTTTACAGTGATTTACTGACAATTTTAACCCAGGGGGACTTTTGTACCTGGCCAATAAATAGAGAGAGGTCACTGAACAGGGGTTTCGTTTCAGGCCGGATGCTGGACACAATGTCTGGTTGTTTGACATGTAACGTTTAGTAGTTTGAGCACAAAATAACTATTTTTCAAGTGTGAAAATCATTTCTCGTTTGATTTAACTTTTGATGAGTCAATGCAACAACTGAACTGGACATTTTTATTACTATCTGTAAACCATCTGTCATTGGGATTCGTACACACCTTCCGATTGGAAATTGTTGTGGAATCAACTAAAAAATAAACAACTGTAAACCCATAATGATTTATTATAATTATTATTGTTGAGTCAAATATTTAATTTTTTGTGAGCAATTTTTGATGCCGTAAAAGACTTTCCCCGTTAACCAATTCCAGTCCAGGGAATGCAGGAAATTGCATTTTAGAGAGTACAATTTTATAAATCTCCCAGGGGAACATGCCCCCCAATCCCCCTAGAAGTTCAATCTTCGCACCTGTGGCATGAACAGCGCAAGTCTGCCAGCCGAACTTCTGTATCCGGTACCTCCAAATGCTACCAAAAACCCTGACTGAATAGGAAGTCACTTAACAGAGGTTTGATTGCATTACCACAGAAGAGGTGAAGGCAAAACAGTATTATATAAATGTAAACCCACCAATAAGTTCCGCAGCCATTTGGAAATCCTCACCCATTTTACAGATTTCACTGAGTTGCAGCAAGGAATCCACATGGTAAGGATGAGTATGTAAGATAGCCTGCAACAAAATATCATCACAACAATAACCATCACTGTAAGACAAGAACAATATAGACCAGTTACTAATTTGTAATTATTGCATTCTTACGGTTTTTAGCGTATTTAATATTATAATCAATAATGTATTCTACCACTGAGATTTCCATAGTCTTTGATTAAGTAAGTGGGATGCAAAAGGGTGTTACTTGAGGACTTCTCACATATACAGTCTGGGATATAGTAATTTTTATTATTGTCTTTTATATTTGTAACCTGTTTAATTATTATTATTTTCATGTATTGTATTGTTATTAATTATTTTTGTCATGTGTGTGTTTTATACATGAGCCTCTGGCTCGGATACTTGGGGCACCCTATCCCATGCTATGACACCAATAAATTGATTGACTGATTGATTAACTGAATCAGCCTACACCTACTAACTTTTTTAAAAGTTCAAAAAAAGGGATTTTTTTGGGAGTGCAAGGATTTTCAGTTGTGGTCCAAACATTGCTGTAGAGGACCTGAATGTTTTCTTTGTTTCACATCTGTGGGATAACAAAATTAATACAGCATAATGTTATTCATTCATTCAATAAGCTCAACATTTTCCATCTTTCAGATGAATCACCGCCTGGTTATACAAAGGATGCGTTTGACATAATACGCTGATTATGACCCCAAAAGTAGAGAAGATGCATGTCGAATGTCAAGTATAACAACCAACAACCCTGGTCAAAACTCTTGGAACACAAACACAATAGCTCAACAAAATGATGTATTTTCCCTACCCTCCCCCCCTGGTGCAGTGTTGACAGTCAACATTTTTAAGGGGAAGGGGGAGCAGAAATAACCCCCATAACAACACTCCCAAGTTCTTATAAGAGGTAGAATATGAGTTCATTCACAATAGTGAATCTTTGTGCTTAATTTTCTCAAATGTCCCAAGATATTTTGACCAGGGTTGTAGCTTCCATCTATTTCCAATCATTTAGTAAAGTTACAAAAGCACTGAAAGAAAGAACTGACTGAGGGTTTCATCATCACTCACGGATATGTTGTTGGGGTTTAGAGATTCCACAGCATCAAGAAACAGAAACTGGACTTCTTGGTAGGAAGGAGAATGCTCAAATTCAAAATAGGTGTACCTAGATAAGTGTAAAAAGAAATGGCAGGAAAGGCGATTGTAAGAAGGAGCATGTTTAAATTCAGGTACATGCAACTGTTCTTTAAGAGAAATGTTTACATACAGTGAAGATATAACTAAAAGCAACAACAACAGTTAAGCTGATAAAATGGGGAAAATCAATATTAAATACAACAAAGATGTTTGGTGTATAAATTTTGATTTCCTCACTAACTGCAGGCCAGTCCCAATGTATCTTTTGTTATATTTCCAAATTTAAATAAAGTTGAAGTTGAAGTTTCCTTTTCGACAAGTGTGCATGAATCGAAATAATGAACTCTATTAACCCTTTAAACCCTAACATCAAAATTCAAATTCTCATTTGTTATCCATATACGTTTCCAATAGAAGTAGTGGGGAGAATTTGTTGAAGTATCAATATTAGATTCATCTTGTGTGATCATCTCCTTAATTCTCATGACCACTGTGTTTTATGAAGCAGTGATATTACAAGGAGAAGTTTGATGCTGATCACTCTTAGGGCTTAAAGGGTAAAGGGAAAAAGAAACACCAGAATAAGGACCTTGTTTGTTCACTTCTCTCCCTAATTTTCTGCTTATTTGCCTGGAATTATTTTGTCCTTGTAGTTGGTCATCTACATGTACTTGACTTTATTTGAAGGAAAAAAGTTAGTACATTGACCCTGAAGATTTTTATTAACCAGTAAATTAAAATTATTTTTAAACAAAAGGGGCTGGGACAGTTGGTAAATTACACCAATATTTTTTTCTCTACTGTGCCAGTTACTACCCTGCCAGCAGATCCTAATTCCTTTCACTTGCTCAAAAGTGGCTTTTTTGAAAAAGATTCTGTATGAATCAAGTAAGATCTTTGTTGAGCATGCACTACATGTTGCGAGGATACAGTTTCAAACTCAGGCCTAATAGCCATGCGCCTGGTACAGTGGGCTCAGTTATAACCAATGGTTTATTAATAAATAGATACTCGCACTCAACAAAACTGTTTGATGAGAAAAAACAAGATTGACTAGTCCAGAATTTTAGGCTGCAGCAACTTCAAAGGCTTGACACTACTCAAGCAGAATCTCCTTTTCTCCTCTTCAGTTAAGAAGAACACATAAGGAGGGTTTGCTCACAGGGTGGCCAGTTATCCGTGGGAGTGTGTATGAATGGTAGTACATAACAATGTCAATAATCTCTCTGCTCTGCTGAGGAGCTCATGGGGGTTCCCTGTGGTGCCAACAGTCGACCTCTACGCGCTTCCAAGATTTGCGGTCCTGTGCAAAAGTATGAATTTCATGTGGAAGGGGGGGATTTTGTGGATTGATAAGTTTTGTAGCATATTCGTGGAATAGAATTTTATATTCACATTTAATGAAGGTTCACAGTACATTATTTTATAAAAACTTACCCATGTTTGCTATCTCTAATATTCATGCTTATCCCTGCAAAGCAAAGAATTACAAGCTAAGTGAATAAATAATAAAAGTTTCATTAAAAATAATTGGACTATATGGTTACTGGATTTTCCTGCATTCTGATTTGTTCATCAGATCAGAGTTCATAACCCTGCTGAGACCATTATATGGCAAATGAACTTGTTATCACACAGCTAAAACACTTTGAGCTTGTAAATTTTCTCATGGACAAGACAACAACCAAGAAAGCGTTTTGTGGTGTAAAGATATTTAAGTAATAAAAGACGACTAAAAGTGCAACACTGGGAAAAGAGAAGTCTGGGACGTATAAAAAGTGTGATGTGAAATTACCTTGACCAGCAACAGGATTGGTACAGGTTAACCATCAAGAAATTGAACTTACCATCTGGCCTATTTTGCTTCTTTAACAGAATTGCCTTTGACATTGGAGAAATTCCTTTTTGACATTTCAACAGTTAACCCCACATGTTACTCAAAAGATTAAAAACTGACCTGTTGCTCCCATACGAGGCCATGTTGATTTAGGTGTCACTAGTCTGTGGATATAAAAATATACATGTGTCACGTTGACAAAAGAAAGTGAAAGTAATCATTTAGCACAGTCTATAGTGGTCCTGAATTGAACTGTTGTTGACAGTGACTGAAATTTCAGCAACTTCAAAGTGAGACTACTATGAACATTAGAAAAGGGTGGTGGGTGTTTGTGGTATAATCTCATCTGGTCTGATCCAGGTTTTGTTAACAGCTGTGTTTTAACAAGTTTTCTGTACAGCTTGCAAAGAAAGTCATGTCCGATAGCCCAGGGCTAGTGGATTTTGCTATCGGGCTAGTGATTTTTGTTCTTAACGTGCTGTTTTTTGGGGAAATTCAAATTACAGAAGGATTGTAATCAATCCTGCTGATGAAAAAGGGTATTGGGGCTAGTACATGCAAGCTACAGCTTCCCCGAATGGGAGGCTGTAAAACTGACTTTCTTTGCACCCTGTCTGAGTATCAAAGTCTCACCTTTTTTGGTTCAATGTTATTTTTAAAAAGTTTTAAGACTCTCAGTTTTGCACTTTTCAAAGACAAACACTTGCTATTCCTTATATTTATACCCAGACATTGCTAAGTTCATTCAATGAATGTGAATATACAAACCTTGAGGAGTGATGGTAAACTCGATGATGTGCTCGTCTGTGCCTACAAAAAGCATATCAAGCTTTTACGTGTATGCAAATATAAATTTTTTGTCATTCTAGGAAGAAACGGAATGGAAACATCTGAATGTAATCTTAGATCAAAATAAAAATGTGTATCATTAGCTGTAAAATAATATAATGGAACAAGGCAATCGAAAACAAAAGTATACTTTCAGTATTATAAACAAACCTGTTTTCTGCTCGAACAACATGAGATCCAAATCTCTTTTTCATCTCATTCTCTGCATTCAAGTGCCTGGGTAAAACAAATATCAAATATTTCATAATACCTTATACCAGGGCTCGAAATTAACTTTTTCGTTCGGGAGCCAGCTGGCGACTAACGGAAAAATTTTGGTCGCCAGATCGTAAATTTTGGTCGCCAGCTTATTTTATATATAACTTAGACCCTGTTTACATGGAGTGGGGGACCGCAGTCTAGTGGGGTAGGTTTCTTTTGCTTTGTGTCCCCCAGGGCGTGAAAACAAAAGAAACCAACCCCACTAGACCAGGGTCCCCCACTCCATGTAAAGAGGCCCTTACACAAGAACACGATTTTATACGTTACTTTGCGTGCAAGAAAAGTCACAACTGAAGAGCGAAAACAATTAGAAACAACATGAGTAACACTTAGTTATAAAGCTACCGTTGTTCTCAGGTGATATGTCTCAGGTCCGAAGGTGATGGTTGTCTCCATAGTCATTTTAAATGAAGCGAAGCATAAAACGTTTTAAGTCCGTGGTTTTCATTCTGAGACAAACACGGGTCCTTGCGTATTTGCCCTTTGCTACTTCTACGAAATGGCGTTCTTTATTTTCGACTTGCTTTCCTCGACGCCTTTTCGCTGCCGACAAACAACGCCACGCTTGGCCCAGGCCACCACATTGCTCGTACCAGTCTCCGACCGGGAGGAAACATAAATGGGCTTAGTGCCGTTTTTAGGTCTTCGTTTCATTTTAGACAGAACGTTGTAGGAAAGTAAAACCTAAAATATTGCGGGAGTTTACGGAAGCACCGCTTGAATTGAATCGCTATCTCCTTACCTTAAAGTATAAAGAAACGTTGTTAAGAACTATTCACTCAGGTACTTTTTCTATTAGTGATAGTTATATCCATTTATTAACCGCCCACTTTCCCTACATCAACAACTGATGAAGGATTCAAAGTTTGGATTAACCTTTTGGCTGAATCTTCATTCCCATGCGTAAATACTCACGTATTTCCTTCAACTGATTTGTATCTGCCGCCATTTTCGCGGCAAATGAAAAGCACATGATGTTGAAGTGCGCCTGCGATCCCAGTTTCGGAAGAAGCCACGGAAACAATATATGGCGTCGTGAACGCAGTATCGACGTTTCAAATACATTCAATTTTTTTCGATTATCTTGTAGTATTCAGACATTATTTTACTGGGGACAGAAAGGTGAGTTGGATACTAGCTACCATATCCGATTGATTTCCTAATATAAAGATTTAAAAACAAAAGTTGTGTCGTGGTTTTCTTTAGCCATCGGACAAAACGCGAGTCGCCAGCTGGCGACCAGTTCTGAAAATTTAGTCGCCAGTCCTCAATTTTTGGTCGCATTGGCGACCAGTGAGTCGCAATGTCGAGCCCTGTATACCGTAATTACTCAAATAAGTATTGTGGTGCTTAAAATCATGCCTCAAATTTGGTGCTCATATGAGGGTGGCATTTATTTAAGCTTATATCAGGGCCATGGTGCTTAATTGGGGAAGGTGCTTATTTGAGTGAATATGGTTTATATTCCAAAAATCAAAACGAAGAAAATTCTTTACTCAATAATTAGGACCTCATTGCATGCACATCCCTTGAATATTGTAATTGCATACAAAATAAAACTCTTACCTATGTTCCACACCAAGCAAAGGTTTGGTATAAAGAGACCTTGAGGTGCTCTGTCCAAATGTTGCTACTGGAGCTGGTTTCAGAGGGAGAAAAAAAGTTAAAACTTTGAATTATCCATTTCTGTATCCTAGTGAGACATTGAAGGTGAAATGGGGAACACTTTATTAACCCTTTAAGTCTTGAGAGTGATGAAAATCAATTTTCTCCTAAAGATATGAATACATAATCAAGAGAAAATGTTGTGAGAATATATAAAGCAGTCAGTTCATAGAAAACGCTTTGATCTTCAAACAAATTCTCCCAACTAATTCATTAAGGAAATGTATGGTAATCAGTCTTGAGAATTTGCATGTGGATATTGGGGCTCAAAGAGTGAAGAGAAGTCTGAGGGTTTCAAGCGCTGACAAACTCATTCACAGGCTCTGGTCTTTGGGAAACTGAGTCTTCAATGGTGTCTACAATTTCTTTATTTAGTATCTTGAACAGGGTGTCTTTTTGGACTGGAAGCTTAAAACAGTGTGTAATGTAGTTGGAAAGAGCTTATTGAATACAAAAATAAAAAACAAAAACGAATTAACTTGTTTTTATTATATAAACACCAATGAAATACTGAGTGAGCTTTCACACGAAAACTTGATATGAAAACATGTTATCTTCACATGTGAAAATATCACCGTTGCCTGTTTCTTGCCCTAAACAGGGTAACAAAATAAATGGCTCATTCCCTTTTGCACAAAATAGGAAGTCCCCCCCCCACCTTTGGGGGATAAGATACTCCGTCTTAGCGTTTATAAATTATGTTTTCTATAAATTACATATTTTTTCTCACCAGGCACTTCTACTTGTTTTTCTGTTTCCTGTGAGTTTTTCACTTCTTTGTTTTTGGCACAATCAATGCTGTTCTTTCCATTCTAAATATAAAAAATAAGGTCTTCTTCATATTATGAAATTTAAGAATTAACTAAAACAAGCACCTGTAGAAAAAGAAGGGCAACTTTCAACAAAATGGATTACTCATTTTTATTGACTGTAAGAGTGTAAGGCCATGTTTTATCAACACTGTTTTTTACTGCCTTAGTGGGGATGGATCTGGTACTGGAAACAATTATTTCCCTCAAAAACAATATATATTGTCTCGCAGCTATTTCTTAATTTTATTACTGTTGTTAGATCATGGAAAGCATTAATTTGGGATGAAACTGCAAAGCAATATGGATAATCTTACAAAATTAAAAAAATATAATGTAAATGTTAGTGACCTTTATCCCATTCGATGGCACTAACAACTGTGAAATAATAATGTGATCAAATTTTTAAGGATTTATAGCTACCCACATGCATGATCTTGCAGTCCTGTCGTGTAGGCTTGAGACCTTAAAATCTGACAACCTTAATTTAAATAGTTGTCCACAGACACTCTCAGAATGAAATAATAATGTGATCAAATTTTTAAGGATTTATAGCTACCCACACGCATGATCTTGCAGTCCTGTCGTGTAGGCTTGAGACCTTAAAATCTGACAACCTTAATTGAAATAGCTGTCCACAGACACTTTCAGAATGAAGAGTTCCCACCGAAATTTACTCAAAATGTCATTTACATGGAATGTCCACATTCATTAGGAAAATTGATAGTTTAAATTTTGGGTGCATTTTTTTGGAAAATCCAAATCTGGATTTCTGAATCCAAAAGTCCATTTTTAAATTCTCCCCCAAAAATGTATCGTTTGTACTGAAGATTACCGCACTCACATTGGTAATTTTCCCATTTTCAATTTCACCCTTTCCTTTCTTTTTCTTTTTCTTTCTCTTCTTTTTGGCACCTTGTTTTTCAGCAGGCTCTGTTGAACTTGGTTTCTCTTCTGCTACACTTTCAGCGGTTTCCTTCAGATTTTCTTCTTCTTGATCATCCTGAGAATCTTCAGCTGATTGTTCATCATCTACATTTAACTAAAACAGAAACGCTGTAAACATACACGTCACAACACAGTCTGCGCATGCAACTGGTGCAGTTTATAGAACCGGCATCCGGTATTTTACTTACCAAATCAAAAGGATTAACTACGACTTTCTGTTTCTTTTTTGACTTAGCCGACGTGAAGTTCAATTCATCTTCTTCCTCTTCTTCATTATGCAAAATTTCTAGTTCCTTGTCACCCTGTAGTTTCCTCAAAACACGCGAAGACATTCTTACACATTTTCTTTTAGGCCGGAATAGCTGTGGTGCGACTTCGCAACCACGCAGATGGCTTAGCAGCCAAGCTCTGTAGACCAGTCTCAACTCACGTGATGAGAAGGGGGATCCACCATCGGAATGGGGCAGGCAATGGGGGACAGCAAAAAGATGTCTTTTCGAACCGCCTGCTTTTTGCTTGTAATTGGTTCTGTTTTGATTCCATTTATCAGCGGAGTTAACGTTGACAGCTCTAGATTTAAGCAATTTTCTCACATCAAGACAAAAACTCCGGCAGCCGTGCAAGAACAAGCTGTGATAGACCTCATAACAAGATTGATCGGTCCGACCTACGCCTCCAAATTCACCATAATAGTAAATGCCAGCTCTGGATTTCAGCAAGATCTGGATACGTTTGAATACTTTACCAATGAAGAAGATGAAAAACTCGTCATTACGAGTACGAGTGGGGTTGCAGCCGCGCTAGGATTTGGACATTTTCTCAAGTACAGATGTTTTGGGCATGTGTCATGGAGCGGGGATCAGCTGAAGATACCGGAACCGTTTCCGGTTGTGAAAAGTCCTGTGAAAGTAACCAGTCCAAACAGGTATTCTGTACATTGAGTCTTTTAATGTTGCGTATCTCCCAAGGGAGAGTCCAAGGTTTTTCAAGGAAGGTATAGTGAAAGAGATGACAGGGGCCTCTTGTCCCACAAAATGAGTAAGAGACCTTGGTTTTTTCTCATAGGTGACCCCTTCAGAAATGCTCATCGTATTTGGGGACTGGAATGTAAAGACCCTCAGGGGCAGTGGGCGGGTGGTTTTCCCAATTTGGGGTGCTGACAACCTGCATGCTTTATTTTTTATTTTCTAGAATTTAAGGTCCTGCTTCATTGACCTTGCATTATATACTATATTGTAGAAAAAGAGGTCTGCAACATGTCCCTTAGTACTGATAGGCCTTATAAAAAAGGGCCTTATCTGCCCTATTTTCACTTTGTGGAAGAACACAAGATAACTATTATTAATTTTTGTTTAACGTTCTGATCAGTTGGTTGCCTGTGTATATCGACATTGGCTGAATTAAAAAGCTAAATATTTGTTTTACTCTACTTGCATGTCAGGTTCCGCTATTACCAAAATGTGTGCACAGTAAGCTACTCTTTTGCATGGTGGAACTGGACACGTTGGGAACGTGAGATTGACTGGATGGCTATAAATGGCATTAATTTACCCCTGGCATTTAATGGACAGGAGGCAATATGGCAAAGAGTTTACCTGAGAATGAATCTTACACAACAAGAGCTTGATCATCATTTTGGGGGACCAGCTTTCCTTGCGTGGTATGTTTAGAAACATTTAGAGTCAAATCTTCTTAAGAAGGAGCAGCAGCGGGACTAGGACTGGCGTTAAGTGTTTGAAACCCGGGTTTTCTTATTTCCACGAAAAATCCCAGATAATTTTTTTCCCAACCATTCCAGATTTTGCCAATATTATTAATGACAATACAAAATCCCAGACATCCCCAATCATATGGGATGGCCAGTGACCAACTGGAACAACTGGACGTGTTTCTATTTTCCTGGACGTGTCCCAGATTTTCTACAATAGTCAACAATCATTCCTGGTATTTGACAACTGAAGATGTTTACTGTTTCTTATGTTGATGATCGTTTGCAGTAGTGTTACAGGGTGGTTTCACGGGCTTGACATTTGGGCAAGTTGTTGCTAGAGCCGGGGGGGGAGGGGGGAGGGGGGTACTTTAGGAATCTCTGGGTGGGGATGTGCCGCTGGGACCCTGGAACCCTTAACCTATACCAGAGTTAGTGCAGCTGAATTTTGCAACCCTATACTAGAGTAAACTCCCCAAATCCCCCCTATCCTAGAGTAGCTGTTTTCCAGAAACTACTGAGGTCACCAGCACAGTCTAGCCAAAACAAAACCTTAAACCACAATCCCTAGTCTAGATAAAATCTTCAGCCAACCAATCAATTTCATGAAAAATGATAACCTATTCTAGATCCAAATGCTCTGATTTATATACCCTATCCAAGAGTAAACTGCTTGAAAACCATACCCTTCACAGCAGCACATACCTATATAGCCCATATATGGCGGTACCCCCCCCCCCCAGAAAACTTCACTTGCCCAATTGCAAAACCCACTAGATCCAGGTCATCGGACACGACTTTCTTTGCATGCTGTTTCAGTACCAATCCTCCAATTGCTTGGCTCAAAACTCCTCCCTTAGAAATTATGCATGGTACAGACTGCTGAATTTTCCTAATTCATAGGTCAAATTCCCTTTAAAAGGGATTGTCACTGAAGTTTATTTTTGGTTTATTCTCTGACCATTGCCAAGTCAATCATAGTGGTTTATCATAGTATGGTTGGTAAATTATTTTGTTTTGGAAAAATATCTATACCCGTTGAGATTTCTTCTAATTTGACCTTCTGTACACTCCCTGCCATCTTTAGCCCTCTTACAACATCTAAACATTTTTTTAAGTAAAAAAATGTTTTTATCATATAAATTTGCAAGATTCCTCTCTTCTTGAATAAGAACAATAAAGAATAATTATTATTCTATAAATAACTTTTGTTTCAGGTCACGGATGGGTAACATTAGAGGCTGGGGAGGTCCTCTTTCATCTTCTTGGCATTCAAATCAGTTGGCTTTGCAGCATAAAATCTTGGACCGGATGCGAGAGTTTGGCATGACTCCTGTGTTACCAGCTTTTGCTGGGCATGTTCCAAATGGTCTTCTGAGAGTCTATCCAAATGCCAATGTTAGTAGACTTGGTGACTGGGGTCATTTCAACAGTACATACTGTTGCACATACCTTTTAGATCCAAGTGATTCACTTTTTCAGGTGAGTTAACTTGAAAACACATGTTTTGGCTTTTCTCACAGGTCATGAATTGGTATTATTGGGCCCTGTCTTCAAGAATCTGGATATTTTTAAATCCACAATTTTTTTACACAAACCGGCTTTCCATCCACACAAAACCAGTGAGTCTGCTCATTGAAACAGTGTATCTTTTTGAAATTGCGCTTTATAGTGATTTAACAACCTGTCGACAAATCCAGGTACAAAAAATTGCAGTTTCAAAAAGCCGTCCAGAGGCTGGTAAAGTCCTGCATCAACTTTTTGGCATTCAAATCAGTTGGTTTTAGATTGGATGCAGTTGTTCGGCACGATGCCTGTGGTACCAGCTTTTGGTGGACATGTTCCTGATGGTTTGTTAAGATTTTATCCAAAAACTAATGTTACAAGGCTTACAAGTCAGAACCAATTCAATGCAATAGCACATACCTTTACACATATTCCTTAAATCCTACTGATCCTCCTTTCAAGGTATGCCTGTAGCTTCCCTTTACATGTTACATGTTACCCTCCAAGATCTCCATAATTCTTCATATGATCATGCTACGAAAGCCGAATTCAATAATTGTTTTATTATTCATTCAAAATAATTCATAGTTTAAAAACATAGCTAAAACAAGCTTACGTACATTAATGTTAAGTTTATCTTCGATAGTTTACGTTTAGGTTTGTCCAGCTCCGCAAATAGTCGCCAAATAGCAGATGTCACCCTCCAAGTTGTCATCTTGCTGTTTTTGCTATGTTTTTAGCCATTATTTTGCCTAGTTCCAGTTGTAGTTCTTACTCTTACAATGAAGGAAGTGTCCGCCATTTTCCTTGTTACAACGAAAACAACTCAATCTTGCCCCCAGGTCTTGTAGAACTTGAGGCTGCATTTTTGACATCATTTCCTCGTTAAACACAAAAATTAATTCTTCCAAATTTGGTCATCAGTAACTGGGTATGGTGAATTATGTGTGTGCTTTTAGCCAATCAGAATATGGGGAAATATTTTGAATGAATAATAATGGCTAATAACCTGCATCTAATTTTCTCTTTTGAAACTCTCCCTTTTAGACATTAAGATCATGAGAGTAAAAGGTCGAAGAGATCACCAAAGAAATCTTCTTAGTAGTAACTCCACAGTGTTTTCAGAACAGTGTGGAGAAAATGTGTGTTGATATTACCTTGTTACTGCTACTTGCAGCAAATTGGTGGAGCATTTATTAAGGAACTGATCTCTGAATTTGGAACTAATCATATCTACAACACTGATACTTTCAATGAGATGACCCCACGGTCAAGTGATCCAGTGTACCTGTCCAATGCCAGTAGAGCTGTGTATGAAGGGATCTTGGCCGGGGACCCAGATGCTGTTTGGCTCATGCAGGGATGGTTGTTCCTGGATACTAAGTTTTGGCAGCCACCACAAGTCAAGGCATTACTACAAGGTATAATGTAAGCAGGCTGCACTGTACCTTATTACAGCGACAGGATAATTTCTCGATTTGATGGTTTGCTTATTTCACAGCACTTGAAATTTTGCGGTTTTGCAAAAATTTTGGATTGAGAGGCACTTTAATTTCGCATTTTGAGCATTCATCACTGTATTATTTAATTAAACATTTTATTTGGTCAAATAAAACATCATCATTTACATTATTTTTTGTTGTGTCAAAACTAAAAATTGATACACTGGTAGGCTTCTATGACATTAGTAACATTAATAGCAAAGAAGTTCTCACAGTGTCCTCAAGAAGTTCATGCTTGTGCATGTATATTAATTAATTACGGTCAATTTATTACTGTCCACGTTACAAGGTATTTTAGTTAGTAAACGTTTTTAACATTTTATTGTTCACACAATGTGAGAGGCCAAAGTTTCGCATCACACTATGTTTGCGACACTTATTGTTTGCATCACTTTAATTTAAAATCTTGAAAATTCGCAAATTTAAAGTTTCGCAAAAATTTCATGCAATCAGGTACACATGGGAGCTGGGTGTGCAGAGCAGAGGCTGGGCGGGTGGTTGGGGTCATTTAAATGTCATTAATTTAGATTTCCTACACTTCAACCATGTTGGGGCATGCTGAAAGCCAACACAACAGAGCATAGCACCAGCTGAAGCAGGGTTGTCAAAAGTAGCTGGCTTCCGGCAAAAATCACCGCCTCCTTGGCTAGTATCGGCCAGCTACTCTGCTTGGCATTTCTTTACGGATGGCGTTTTTTAAATAAAATATTCCTGGACTGGCCACTTACTTTGACGTTTCAGTTGTCTACTTCAAAACTTTCTGACAACCCTGTAAAGTTCTGCCTGGAGGTAGACACTTTTGGTAGTCTGACACTGCAAGAGGTTATGCCCCTTTTTAGTTGGCCTTTAATTTACGTTCAACAAGAATCAGATCAGTGAAAATACTGTGAAACAGATCCTACAGTTTTAGTCCTTATCTAAGGTCTAACCATACGCAGAAGTGAAACAAAGGCAGCAAAGTTTTCTTAGTCATTTTAAGACCCTGAGTGTTGATCCAGCCAGGAATGAAACTTGGTCCTACTGTTCACGCAATCAACTGGGCTAAACAGTTGTTGGATGGATTAATTTTGTTCTTGCCCTCTGTTTTTCTTCCTGCTTCCACTGCAAGTCAGTGGGACAGATGCTTGGAACCCATGTCAGGCTCATGTAGGATGCCTCTGGGTTGCCACACTATGAGGAATCTAAGGAAAGCTATTTATCTTTTATGTTATTTTCGTTTGACTGAAGGGGTACCTCAAGGCAAGATGATCGTCTTAGATCTGTATGCAGAGGCAAGTCCAGTTTGGCAGAGAACAGAGTCCTTCTATGGACAGCCATTCATTTGGTGTATGCTTCACAACTTTGGAGGGAACATAGGTCTATATGGAGAGCTCACTAGTATCGCTACAGGTATTAATAGTTTTATGGTTTTGAATCTATAAATACTGATTCTTCTTAGTTTGCCATTTTCTCCACCTCTACCAAAACAGTTCAGTGAGCTGATGCAATCTCGTTCCCAGGGCTTTGCAGTGGCCGTCCCTTTTTCCTGGCAATAGCCTACACTATTGACGTTATTTTACCTGATATCGCAAACGTCTTCCAAATTTGGGCAACATTAGCTGGTGTTGAAGAATAAGCCTGGGCATGGTGCATATGAGCCGATCAAAAACGGAGTAATATTTTGAATGAATAATGGGAGAATTTATAGTAACTGTACCATTCCTCCCTTGCTGTTTGTAGGGCCCATCAATGCCGCAAACGCTAAAGGCTCCACCATGATAGGTACTGGCATCACACCGGAAGGAATTGAACAGAACGATGTTGTTTATTTGTTAATGAATGAGATGGGATGGAGATCCGAGACCGTTAACGTTTCACAGTGGTTAGAGGCTTACTCTGAGAGGAGGTACGGAGGGGTGAATGAGTATGCACAGCAGGCGTGGAAGCTGTTGGGTAGAAGTGTGTACAGTGCTACTTTTGGGCGTGGTCACACTCATTCAGTTATAGTCAACAAACCATCACTTACGTTAAATTTTACGGAGTGGTACGAGCCGGAGGATGTGTGGCAAGCCTGGGATGCCCTGGTTATGGCAGCTGACACTTTTGAAATGGTGGACCCTTTCAGGTAATTACTCTGGCGATTTTTAATGTGATTATTGCGGCAATTTTTATTTGTTTACTTTTTCCGTGCAATTTCAAATCATACCTGTAAACTAGCAGTGATTGCTTGCACAGATCTTGATTGCATGGGTAGACCCGGCATTTTATGGTTGTGCTGTCTTTGACTGGCTTTGTGTTGTGGGAGCTTTAGCAACGACGACGGCGACGGCAAGGAGAACGTCGAGAAAGCCGTAGGTTTATTGAGCAAAACAACGACTTTACACGTACATCACGCTTTTTGGTACATTTCTTTGCCGTTATTCCACAACTACGACGTGAAAATGCCTCATGTTACGTTTTATAGAGGAGTTAAACAAGGGACGACGAATTTTGCTTTCTCTTTCTAAACTTGAGTGCGGCCTCCAAGAAATAAACTCCAGGGAAACTCGCCTACATTTGATATCTTTAGTGAATTGGAATAAACGCAAGAGAGTTTGAAAATACGCGAATTCATTTTAAAAGTATTTATTTTTCGCTGCCGTCGTTGTCGTCTATGCGAAAACTCACTATTTTCACGCACCGTTTTCAGATTTTATATTGCAGGGATTGGGTACGAATCCGTGTCAGCACATTCCCACACAGTCGGAAAGAGCACACCGAGCTATACAAAAGTTTGGTTTTTATCACGGCAATATTGAAACGAGATCCAGCCAATCAAAAACTCCATAATTTACTAAGAAATATATAAACGTCCGGGTAATGAGTGGCAAACCATACATTTCTGATAGTAAATGAGTAGCTGTATCTTGTTCATTTTTGACCCAATTAACACAAAACTTAGGGATTCAAAAAAGTTTGATGTGCTCTTTCTGACTGTGTGGACCGTGTTGTGTTGTTAATCCCATAATATGTAGCCTCCTGCCCAGTTTCCCACCATGTGACTCCGGTGTTACAGTGATATGGGCACCCCAAACTCTGATGATATGGGAATCCCCTTCTCATATTACCTTCGTGAGGCTAAGGTTAGGAGGACAGGGGATGAATATATCATTAGGGTTTTGGGAATGGGGATGCCCAAAACGCGGGAATGCCCATATCACTGTGACACCGGCAGTTGGACTGTTTGAGGAGACGAATTTTGATCCCGTTTCTTGTGCAACTTCTTCACAGCCAATAAAATAAAAGTTAACGTCTCAATAACAGCCCCATAGTGCAACTGGACGAAACTGCGTTTCAGGCCCCAGCAAACCGTTAATGGCCAACAGACTGTTGTAAGGAGCGATGAATCCGGTCGTCTCCCCACCAAATCATGTCGCTACCAAGAAGTCCAATCGCCACTAACCAACTCGCCACCAACGGTGAAATAGTTAAATGACTAGTTGAAAATATGCCACAGACCAGTATTTGACAATTGCCTAAATAAATGTATGGCGTGGACTCCATGTGTGGGTTGAGTTTTTTGTTGGTTCTCTCCTTTGCTCCGAGAGGTTTTCTGGCCCTCTCCTCAAAAACCTGAGATCAGGTCCAATTGTAGCGGTTCTCATACATTCTCTCTAACGGCTACCGCTTTTCGTTTCGCCTTGCCCGTTGGAATGTCATTTTCAAAGCGAAACGAAAATAGAGCCTGATCTCAGGTTATCTCCTCAAAAACCAGCATTGCTAAATCCCAATTCGACCAGGAATCAGGTAGACGAGGAACCACTTAGTGGATGTGCTACCTCTAAATCTTTATTTATTTAGTTAGTTAGATGTAAATTTCAATAATTAGTAATCAGTTTTAACTTGTTTCATGTTTGAAGGTACGACTTGGTGGACGTAACGAGACAGTCTCTTCAATTGTTGGCCATAATCCCTTATAATAACTTGGTGGATGGTTATATTAATAACTCCACGTCCGTCGTGCAAGCAGCTGCATCACAGCTCCATGAAATCTTTACAGACGTGGATGCTATTCTCTCGTCAAACCAGTATTTCTTGCTTGGTGGACACTGGCTTAACCCTGCAAAGGCCTTGGCAACTAACGCACAGGAGCGAACGTTGTACGAGTACAATGCCCGTATTCAGATCACTTTGTGGGGACCAAACGCGAATATCGAAGACTACGCCAACAAGATGTGGGGAGGGCTTGTCTCGAGTTACTACCAACAACGCTGGGTCCTTTTTGTCTCCTTCCTTCTTGATTCAATTTCGCAAAAAGTGCCATTCGACAAAAAGAAGTTTGATGCTGCGTTGTTTGACCAGGAAACTAAGTGGACTCTTGGTAATGAATCGTATCCTGACAAACCCGTTGGCGACACTGTGATGATTGCCAAAATGCTGCATGGAAAGTACCGACCTATGACAGTTTAGTTGGCGATTTTCGTTTTACTTTGAAAATTGGTTTCCGTAAGTGTTATGAACTAATCACGGTAAAATTCATCCAGGTGTGAACTCGCCTACTTCTTTGGTAAGTGGTGTTTAAATCTAACGAACTGCATTAGTTGGACTTTCCGAGGTGCACTTTCTAAGCATAAGGTCATACGCACATAAGTTGACCAAAGCAGTAAGCGATTTGACACGAAAGCAACTTGACTGGTATGTATCCAATCATACTTTAAATACAAACGCCCAAATGCGTGAATTTCTTGTTTGAAATAACGTTTTGTATTTTTTTAAGAAAAAATATCTATAAAAATGCTTATAGTTGAGTTAACGGTTTGGGTATTTCACAATTCTATGTTATGCAAAGACCTTTCCCGTATTTCTCCCGATTGAGCGTACACAATAGAATGATGTACGGCAAGCGGTAAAGAAAGGCCAGGTTAAAGTTTGCTATTTCTCAAAGTAGAAGATGAGAAGGTATAACTGTCCAAAATAATTTTTTGCATGAAGCCGACATCAATCTACGTATTTTTTTCTAGATATAATTAACAGGAGATGACAACTAAAGGGAAAACTTGGTAGTTCCAGGGGCGGACCCCCCCTGGTATTCTGCAAAAAAATGGTATGTGGTTTATTGGTGTTGAAGTAGAGCAAGAGACGAGTGCACTCCCTCCTACAAAAAATCCTGGATCCGCCCCTGGGTTCAATTTGACGTTTGCCGTAAACGTTAAACGTGCTACTGAAGTTGTTTGCCATATTTTTCAAAAAGTTTCAGGAAAATCCGGTTGGAAAGCAAGTGGAACACGACTTTCTGGTTGTTCCAGTGAAAAATTTCCGGAACGGAAAATTTTCGGGAGCAAAGGAATTTCTCCCGTCCGCGTCGGAATGTTCCATGCCAGTTTCAGGTTTTCGCAGCCGTTTTTCGGTAAATTGAACTGGTTTGTACAAATGGTAAACGGGTAATTCCGGGACGAAATTTACCAGTCTTGAATTTTGGTTACCATTTGCCCAAACCGAGAACCGATCGGTTTGCCCATTTAAATGGTAAACAACCTTTAAAATCCGTCTAATGCAACGAGGTTTATCTGGGGTGGTCTACTCACTGTATTTTGGGCGCGATCCATTCAACCAAAATTCCGACCGGGTTTTAGTAATTTTGTGTTCCGGGTTTTAGTATTCCGGCGTTCCGACGTTCCGGCATTCCGGCGTTCCATGTTTTAGTACAAGCCGGAAAAGTGGTCCACCTCAAAAGGTGGATCAGTTTTTTCGGACCGAAATTTCCGGAAATTTTGGTTGAATGGATCGCGCTCTTTGTCTTCCTAAGTCTCGAGTCAGTTTCATTGTTCTCTGAATGCGGGAACGGTCTATCAGTAATAAAGCTTTTTCAAAAAAAGCCGAATTGTAAATAAATAAAATCGAAAATGAAATACTTCTTGAATTGATTAGCGTAGTGGAATCTATATATGTTAGCAAAGAAAGTTCAAGAACTTTGTAAGAAAATTTTTAAAACTGAGTGTATTTGTAATGTATTGAAATATGCACAAGTGACACGGTAGTTGCAATGTTTTTTTTCTTCTAATCAAAGGTTTATAAACTTTGTACTTTCTTAAAAAATCAATAATTAAGCATTAAATGCTTTTTTGTTTGAACCTCAAGGGACGGCTTGAGCATTGAAAGAGAGAACAGTCTAGAAAACTGAGCAAAGGCAGATCAAGGGAGGGGGCCCGCGTGGCCCGGCCCCCAACTTATTTTTAGACCAAACTGAGGCCCGAAGGGACGAAAAAAAATTTTTGAAGAAAAAACTTATCTAAGCGTCTGGATGACCGCCCCCTCCCTCGCTTATCTCACAAGTCTCGATCCGGCACTGCTGAGCCCATATAAACGAAATACTTTTACATTACAGGGAACTCCTGGCCTGCTTAGTTTCTAAATCCCTTCACGAGCGAAACTCGGGAAATTTTGCTCTCGTTGGTTGTATTGTTTTTGTTTTGTGGCTTGAGTGTCAAAGAGAAATTGAAGAGAATTCGAAGACTACAATCGCAGTTGCTTGTTACAAAGTGTTTTCCCGTGCTCATACAGGCCTGGCGCCCGCTACATCTACGTGCTTCGAATTCTGATTGGTTCATTTAACAGGTCATTTCCAAGCACGAAAAAGCCTCACTTTCAGAATGAGGGCGAGTACAAATTCGCAGATGACCTGGTCTGTAAAAGGGAGTTTGGAGCAAACCAGGTATCTTTGTTATGGTTTTGTAGAACAGCGTAGAACGCGCTTAGTAACACCCAGTCTTTCAATGACGTTCCACTTTTATTTATTCCTTATAATACAATCAAGCTGACAGACATTGTTTTTTAGCACCTAAAGTGAGCTTGGCTCTCAAGTAGCGAGCTGAACAAACCTTCAATTGTCACTAACAGTACCTTAATTTAAGCAAGAGTCGCGTCTCCTCGAAGATGACGATATTCCGCGTTCTTCACCAACTCTTTCATAAATAAGGTTAGCATCACCACATGAACACAAGCACGGACAAATTAGTTATAAACAGTGATGTTTCACTAAAAAACTATCACCCCTATCTCTCCCTAGTCGGTCAAATTGTGTTGGTTTCTCCGCAAAGCTGTATTCAACCCGAAGCTTGTATTCCACATTTTTCCAACATTAAACGGCCATTCCAAATTATTTGGAGGTCTCGTTTTCAAACCACTTTTAGTTTTTCACATAACGTATAACTAATTACCTAACGAGGCTTAAAGAGCCTCGAGATGAATAGCACCGGTGCAAAAAGATTAAAACATTTTCACGAACTATACAATCATTTTCCTTCAAACATAATGATCTTTATAACAATCTACAACTTCCCGGGTGCTCAGGCCTAACAGAGGCGCCCGGATGAGGGATTTCTATGTACCATTTTTAAACACCATGTTTCAAGGCTAGGTTAACAAAAAAGTTAAACTATGTCTTCTCCTCTGAACTAAATTTGCAACGAAAAACGCACAGAACGTTTGCTGTTGTATTTGCTTTGAAGTGACCAATTTATTTTATATTACGATAAAAATTGCTTAGTAATATTCCTTTAAGATAAAAACTTTTTTTGGAAAGTATGAAATAGCTTTATGTTTTGCTTGCCTAGCCTTCAATGTTAACATGTATTATTTGTTGCTACAGTCATCAACTGACTTCCCACACACAAAGGACTCCTTCGCGTCTGGAAATAAACTTAAAACATAGAGCAGTTTCCAGCTCAGTGCGGAAAAGCTTTGTGAATGGATTAAAAATTTCACGGTGCTTTCTCCACCAATCAGATGCACACTGGCGTTTTCCCGCGTTTATTATCATTTGTGGAGCTCGTAGCCGTTCCAAATAGCAATCTGATTGGCTGATACTATATTGAGTTGTTACTGGCTACAGTTTATACTATGGGTTCACAAAACTTGGAAACAACAGAAGTGAAAACTGCTCTAGGTCTTTGTTTTTAGGCATTGATAAGAAAGTTCCCTAAAACGGAAAAAATGCCAAGCAGCTGACCCTCTGCTAATATATAAATACTTACTTAAATTAACATACAGGGAAAACTGGAAAAGGTATCTGAGGAATTATTCTGGAAAGTGATGTCACTGCCTAATTTCAAACCGAGTGGGGCCTGGTTATGAGTCCGTTCATTATGGAATAAACAATATGAGACCCACAAAGTCAGAAAGTGATGATGTTTATTGGGCCAATATTGAACGAGATACAGCCATTCAAACACTCCAAAATTTACCAAAACAAATGTATAGACAGCCATTCATACATCTCTCGGTAAATTTTCAAGTTTTTAAATAGCCGTATGTTGATCAATATTGGCCCGGTTTACACCAAACTTCGTGATTTTGAAAAGTCGGTGTGCTCGTTCTGACTTTGTGGGTCTCACGTTGTTTATCCACATGATACACTGACTCCTCGGTTTGAAATTAGGCATTGAGCACGAGTGTAATAAAACTGAGGATTTCGAAACATGCAACTTCAAAACAATTCCAGGGCCACCCTTGTCCAGTCATGTTTTCCTGCTACTATAGATTATCTAAAAAGTCGTCAAAAATTGGACGATATACTTACGCAAATACGCTAGGGTTGTCACATTTGTGTTAACGATTAGATGCGCTTTGATTTTCTTTTGCAAGATTTGACAAAAGTATGAAGAATTGCGAAAGATACTGCAAGAACATTCTTGTAAACGTTTAAGGTAAAGCAAAACAAACAAACAAATAGACAACAAACAAACAGACGATTAAGATTATTACAACATAAAAAGCAATACTAACTAGTAATAATGACCGTGATAATACCATGGGAACTAAGGATGCAAACAAAGAACATTCTGAATGGACACGCAAACAATAAAATTAATCTATCTTTATCTACATCCCAGCCGACAGGGAAATTATAAAATTCTGTTTTTTCCAAACAGGTTAATTTAAGCACTCATAAATTAAATTAATACTACAGAAAATTTGCCTCAAATAATAAGGCAAAATGCATGCATGAACTATTTATAAATCTTACCAAAACAATTAAATGGATTTAAAAATTGTCAAGTCAAAAGTTAAAGTTTAAAACTGGTTGATGATTCCGCTAATTTTTAGGATTAACAAGTTAAAAATTCTCATTATTTAATTTTTTTAAATGCTTTCAGTGCATTTTACTATTTTTCATATGCAAGTTTCAAATAAATCTTTGGACTGGAGATCGAGTGTCAGAAGCATGGATCAACATTGTGTAATAATGAATTAGAAATCAATTAAACAAGATTAGGTGTTGACATGACCTTCAGTGTTATTTGTCAAAAATGGTGAAACCATTCACCATGGAAATCAGAGCTTGGTTAATTGTTCATTCTTTCATAGTTTTCTTAGCCTTGACTCTCAACAGCTTTAGATTTAGATTTTAACCGGCCCAGTTTAAATGTCGAACTTTTCATGTAACGAACTTAATAGCTATTTGGGTCGACCCAAATGATACAAGTTAGATGGTTGATTCACCTGTCGAACTCAATTCATTTTACCATGTACAATGATCTGCTATGCTTAAGACAAATTTATTCATCAGATTTAGCACATGAAAAGTTCAATGTTTGGAAAGTAGTCGCTCCATAGTTGAAATCCCCATGTGGACCACTTGAACTTAATTCAACAGCCAACCCAAATTAGACATGTCAGACTTGACTGAATCAAACCTTTTCATGTGCTTACTTGAAGGAAGAGGTTTACTGCGCTTTTCACAAACATGCAAATTCTGAAGTTCAAAAGCCAACTGACGATTGCATTTTTCGCTGCCGTCAATCAGCTTAACAAACCTCTTAGGAAACAAAACTTTACTTTAACGGGTTCAAAAGGTCACGGATTGTGATTTCTGATTGGTGGATTTCGATCCGTTTTCTGAGTTTCTGTGTTTCAAGGTTCGTTGCTTGTGATTGTAATTACAATTGACGGCAGCAAAAAACGCAATTGTGAAGGCCGCTTTTGAACTTTAGAGTTCGCATGTTTGTGAAAAGCGCAGTAAATACATGAAAACTTGAACGTTAGAACTGAGCCTAATTACTTTTCTTTGGTTCAATCTACATTGTAGTTTTGACAAGAAATACTGTCAGTGTCAAGTCAAATTTCTCAGTATTATCTTGAGGCAGATGCCTGCCTTTCTTCCATCATGCTGGTTAGCTTACGCTGAAGCAGTTCCTCTGAGGGGGTTCTTTTCGTCGGTGGTTGACTACTCTTGTCATCCTGTAGCAGGGCTCGCTTACGGCTAGTATCTCCTGCACCTTGCTTCAGCATCTCATTGATGTCTCGAAGTTTCTACAAACACAAGAAACCTTTATTACTAAAGCCCATCCACATGAATTGTACATCACTCACCTCAGACAATGTTTCTATCGTAAAATACCGTAAAATTCTGAAAATAAGCCCCTCCAAATTTAAGCCCCCCAAACTGGTAACGCAAAAACCCTCCGTTAAATCACCCCTCCAAATATTAGCCCCCCGGGGCTTGTACTTGGAAAATTGCCCTCAAATACATATTAAAACCAAGCAAAAACGGTAAATTCACTTCCAACTATAAGGCTAGCCCAGTCGATTTTGAAACGCAAATTTCCCTCCGTAGATAAGCCCCTCTAAGAATAAGCCCCTCAAAAAGGGCCTTTGAAAATATAAGTCCTGGGACTTATTTTCGGAATTTTATGGTATCATGATAACAGGTAAAATATTTACCTCGGCTGGACTTTCTTTGAAGCAATACAACAGCCTTGTTGTTGGAGTCATTGAAACCCCTGAAAGGAGAATATTATTTTGTTATTTTTTTTAATTAAGTTAATACACTTAATAAGAGCTTTCTCTACTATTTGCTTGGCTTATAAGTGAATACACCCGTATTTAGTAGAGTTGTAATGCACTGAAAAAGAATTGTTTTCAAAAACTCTTGGCTATAAGCCAAGACCCCCTCTTGGGCCCAAATTTCACTTAACTTTAGCTTTAATTTGTGCAAAAATCGCTCAGCTTATAGCTGAATAAATATGGTAGATATTAGGACTAAAGCTAATGGGAACCAAGAACAACTAAAATAAAAATAAAATGACCATGACCATTTAACAGTAAAGGAACTATACCATTCTTGTGAGGAGATATGTACACAGGGTGTCTCGTGGACACTTTTCGTCGAGGTGAATGAGCTTGATTTCTCATCACTGGCAAAGGAGAAAGTGGAGGCGAGTCCAACTGGTGGAAAAAAAAAGCAAGTTTTGAATGTCAATGTATTTAGCATAAAAATACTATTAGTGAAGACAGTATTTTTGCCATTTAACATGGTCATCGGAGTCACATGAAGGTCTAGCTGTTTGCAAGGTAAATGTGGTACCTTCATTTAACAAAGTCATTTAAAAACAGAGTATTGGTCTGGCCCTGGGATTTGAATTCCCACTCTCCTGTGAAGCAATTAACCAACTGAACTAGCCCAGCCATTAGACAGTCCTTTAGTGGTTGAAGAAGAAGAACAAGTAGAAAAACAAGTTTCAGCAGCACAGGTTACAAGATATGGTAACAAGTTACCGGTAGTTGCCTAAGACACAATAGACCTTCCAGGCCTGTTTACCATGTCAAAACTGAAATATTGTTACGAATGAGGGTTTCATTCCTTATCACGTCAAGATGTAGCACAATTGAAAAACATCCTAGCAAACAACCACAGCAAAAACTCACCGCTCTATCCCCAGCTGAAAACTTGAGAGCAAAGTTCTTCACTCTTTTGATAAACACCTGGATAAAAAAGATAAATAAATGCATCAGCTAAGAGAAATAACATGTGTCCTTTTTTTGAAATACAAAAGTAATATTTTATTGTGGGCGACAAAGGAGCTTGCAATCCTCATCTCCAAGTTGCAATATTATGCATGCTTGGCAGGAATGAAATGCACAGAATGCTATCTGATCACGCATATTAGTACCTTCAATCTTAATCTGATCACAGATTACAGATTTTTGGATCCAAAATTTCTGACTTTTTTCCAAACCAATAATTCCTTTTTCCAGACTCAAGGTTTTCAAATAGGTGACCAATAGAGACGAAAAAATACCCCTTCAAAGTACTTGTTGTAGCCTTTAAAAAAATCCTCAAGACTTTTTACCATTTTTCCAGACTTTATCTCCATTTTCCAGACTCCTTTCAGACCTGGAAAATTGCTGGGCAAATTTTAAGACTTTTTCAAGAATTCAAGACTGTACGAACCAGCTTTGGAGCAAGAGTGTTTTGCACTTCAATCAGAAGCCTGAAGCTTGCCCACACTCCCTTACCTTAGGTTATTACAAGTTAATATCCTTGCTTTTGATTCTTTACTTACCTTGTTGTAGAACTCTATAAGATCTCCTCTCTCCCCATCAATGTTTGGACTGTTTTCAGTGCTGCTTGATCCAGACGTATGAGCACTTGCTGGAGGAGGTGTTGATGGGACAGTACTTCCACTCCTTACAGGGCTTGCTCTTGCACTACTAGCACCTTGAACTGGGCTTGCTGGTCCACTACTACCTGGTTCACTTTTAATACCTGCAAGAAAATGCAGGATAAAAAATCCAGCTGCCACATCATGAAATAACACGACTACTTGTATGGGGCGCTTGCCACAACCCTCTGGTGATTTTTTTTTTGCCAGATTTGCCATTCTAATAACAACTGAAGGCTATACACGCTGACACCTTTTGTAACACACTGATGAACATAAACGTTCAGCGATTGGCAAAACCTGAGCAACGTACACAATCAAATGGATAAAGATCTACGTGACCAATTTACCATCCTGAAGAAATGCCATGGAAAGCTGGATTGCTTAATTCATGAAATGCTCTTTATCATAGAAAAGAAACCTAAACTAAACACCCAATCTGACACTATCAAAGCAACACTGTTTACAAGTAGCATCTTTAAAACTTCATATTGTATTTTTCTCTTTTAATCACATGCAACTAAACTTTGGCATGCAACTCCCTATAGAATGAACTCACAGTATTAAGAACTAGACAAATTTGAAAATAATGACCTGGAGTCATCGAAACATCATTCATTGCCATCACTAAGATTTGCCATTTTTGCCATTATTTACCAGACACTTCAGTAACATCAACTTATGAGGGTGTGACACGAAATTGTTCTCCCACCCCATCCATGACAAAAGACATTAAAGGTAACAACACTCAGGATTTTTACATTCTTGATGTACTTTTCCACCTCTACTGGCAATCCAAACAAAGGGAAGATCTAACTATTTTCAAAGAGCTACCATTAATCATTGTATTAATAAAAAGTTTAAGATTATTACCACAACAGCAAAGATAAAGGCAACACAACAATGCTTTGACTAAGGAAAACAACAATTCTGCACATGTATTACACTTTCTTTGCTGTAATTGCAGAAAATTTAATACAACACAAGACTTCCAATACAAGGTTTTCTGGAGGATGTAAACACAGGACAAGGTCATTTCCTTTCTTTTTCTGGATTTGAATTCATTCCTTAAGAGACTCCAGTGGGAATTCACTGCCACTTGACAAATTGATTGAGTTAGAATAACTGTTGCAATAAAGATTGTAACAATGCTTTTTTGCTTTATAAGTGAGGTTATTGTTACCACTGCCATGGTTGCAACTTTAACTCCCTAATATCATATAAATGGCAGCAAAATCTTCCTCAGTTATTCTGATCTGGGTGATTGATCCAGGATACTCATAAACTAAGGCAGAAACACTAAGTTGAAAATATTATCTCACCTCTCGCTCCACCATCACTACCACTGCTTCCAAGTGGAGGCCGCCTCCTTCCTCTAAGAAGAACACTTCTGTAAACCTTTAAGAGAAAGTTTGAAAAGAGGTTTTGTAAATAACCAAGCAGAGGTGAACTTACAGGAAGTCAACAAAGGGCTTACATGGCTGACAGCTTGGGGCTGGGTGCGATAACACTTCATAATGTTTTGAAAAGACAGTTCTGCATTGGTAACCTGCAAAAAATAAGCAACAGATGATATAAATAATGCTAGCACCTTTTCATTAATTTATCATAATACTGCCATGCAAAACTAAACTAACTACAAAAAGTTCAGCAAGTTAAACCATTTCCATCATGTAGCAAACGCATTCACAAAATACAGCATTAGTTTATCCACGTTTTCTAGTTTTCCCACAACACAGAAATGCTGTGTTGAACTGGTCAAAGTTTTAACAACATGGAATGTTTTGTACGAGGTATTATTTCATGTTTTCTAGGCCCAGAATATGGTACAGTACATTCAGGATTTAGAGCTAAAATTGAGTGACTTATTGCCAAAAGAAAAACAAAACAATAGAAAATAACAAAAGCAAACAAATAAACAAAAAATAAATCAAAGCTCAATTATCTACCTTTCCCATAACATATATAGAACACATCAATATCTGATCAATGTGTCTGTCCTTCATTAACTCTGTCATGTTCATCAGTGTATGTTCAAAGCAAGTCCACATTCTGCAAATCAGATAATTTTAGCAAGAAAGTGATTAGTGAGCATTTTGTGATCATAAAACATCAAAATGTACATCTTAGAGGAAAACATTTCAGGCAACACATGAACTCAGAAAAATGTGAACACCAGAATTTTTGCGAGAACATTATTACATTGTGAGGAAGAAACCAATCAGGAAACTAAGTCACAAGCAACAAGGGTAAGTAGTTTCTGGTTTTCTAATGTGCTTGCAGTGCATGATAACCTTTATTGTTATCAAAATACTTCAGGTGTTCATCAACATTAGTGGGTCAGGACTGGGGATTTCCCTTGGCTGTTACGAGCATGACCCCGAGATACTTTCATAAGAGACAAAAGGAACATGAAACCAAAAGATCTTCCCATCTCTAACTGTTGCTGGATATAATTATGCATGGTAGGGAATTGAACTTGAAATCTTAGTGACAGCCCTGGTTTTAGCTTTTCTTAGTTTGACAGTAAACAGGATGTGTAAAGAAATATAGTGTCAAACACGGCTTTACAATCACCAACGTGCAGCGTGCAAAGAAAGTAGTGTCCGATAGCCCGGGACTGGTGGATTTTGCTATCAGGCTAGAGAATTCTGTTATTAACTTGTCCGACGGGCAAGTGAATTTTTTTGAGGACTTCACATTACAGAAGAACTGTAAATCAATCTGCTCATAAAAAGACGTTTTTGGGGCTAGTTGAAAAGATGTTTGGGCTAGTAAATGTTAGCTTCAGCTTGTCCGAATGGAAAGCTGTAAAAAGGACTTTCTTTGTACCCTGCACGTGTTACAGACAATTTGCTTTGATCCAGAGGAAAGAAAGCCCTTACATTTGCTCTAAATTCAACCCACTCAATATGGACACTCCATTAATACGGATACTTTCTATGGCCCCCTTAGTGTTGCAAATATTCCAGTTGAAGGTCGGAAGGCCTTGTAATGCAGATTCCACACAGATCTCGTTTTTTAAATGTAGCAAGTTCAATAGTTCAATGAATTTTGATGAAAGGACTTACTTTTGGCGAAGATCTTCATTAACATCCAGTTTAGTGCATAGATCTCTGAGGCGAACACTGGCCAGATGGTAGAGCTGTAAATGATAAAAACAAAAGTTTTATTTGGAAACGTGCTACACTTTAAGCTTCCATTAAAATCGATGACAAAATTTTCTTTAAGGCCTACTTAAGTCTCCCAAGGTTAGCCTGTCAGAAAGTCTACAAAAATACATGAGTTTCTAATTGTTGCAGGCAACAAGAGGAGCCTGCAAATCACGTAAGTAGCTAGCTTTGATGAGAATTAAGAACAATTAATGAAATGCACGGAACGCAATCTGTTCATGCCCATTTGGACTTTTTATCACTCTTAATCTGACCACGCATGTTTTGACCATATATCACCTTAAACTGACGTAAAGCACAGCACTGGAGTGAAAGCATCGTTGTCACTTGCACTCCATAACCTTTTGCACTCCGTAACCTTTCTTCATTATTTGTATGCAGTTAAACTTACAACCATCAGGGTTGTCACTAAGATTTCAAGTTGCCGGGTAAATACAACAAGTAGGCGGGGAATCAAATGGCTAGGGATTTCTTTTGGTTCTATTATTCTTCTGTTTTCCGATAAAAGTAGCCAGGGGCTACTCTCTTAGTAGTCGGGGAAAATCCCCGGCCCCCGGCTCTTAATGACAACCCTGAACCATCAAATTTGAAAGGAAGAGGGCAACAGCCGTACACATACCTTTCTGAAAAAAATTGCCAAAGAGCCAGTTTTTCTTGGTTTGGTCGGTGTTGTGCCTTTCATCTTGGGAGTCGTTGGTGCTGATGATGGTCTTACAGGACTTGACGTTGGTGACACCATGGATGTGCTTGGAGTCAAAACACTACCTGCCCTTGGGGATGTCACTTGTACTGTGGTTGATGTGTTTGGCAGGACAACAGTTTGTGTAATTCCATTTACAATGAAACCACCACTTGCAGGTGCTGGAGTGATAATCACTGAAAAATGATGATAAGCTTGCTTTAAAACCCTTTGTCAAATTTAGCCACTTTTAGTCACTGACTTCATTCCCGAACAGCTTTAGCCTTTAGCAGACGGAACTAATCTTCCGGTTAAGTCTGTCTGCGAAACAGCGCTGAAATCCCTGCTCTGGTTCCCCACCTAAGTACCAGGATTTGAGTATGTGAAATAATTGGCCTGATATAAAAAGAGTTGTCAATGTGCTAATCATGCTGCAAAGAAATTCAAAACACATTTCCCATAATTTGTCGAGTCCTTTGGGGGCCAAGACAACAAGAATATCAGCACTACGTTGCAAGCGTTACTATCCTGAGTTAGATCATGTCTGCAATGCAGGCTAAGACAACTTAAGCCCATTTGGGGGTCTTAAGATGATCATATACAGGTTATTATCACACTCAAAATTAAAACAATTATGCTCTACAGAGAAGGAAATTATATATCCTAAAATTGGCAAACACACGAACAGTAACATCACACAATTTCCTGTGAAGATGTCTCCACACATGTATGAGGTTGTCAAAATGCCAGCCACTGCCAACACAACAGTTCTATTTGCAACAACAAAAAACCAGGTGATAGCATTTGCACGATTGTTTACTTACAAGCAGGAGCATTCTTGGCAGCAGCTTGTCTTGTGGTAGCGGACAGAGTGACAGGTTGAGGATTCTGAGAGGGTGGAGAGCTGCCAAAGTTGACCAAAAGATTCCGTCTGGCGCCACTGCTTGGGGTGACAGGGGAGCTAAACAGCTCATGGGCTGTTGGAGAGCTGGATAATGGCAGGACTAAAAATAGATAAATCAATCAATAAATCTCTTTATGTAAGTGTCACTGTATTTATTTAATAAAAAAGTCAGGGGAAAGTAAAAGGACTCCAAAACATGACTGGCTTCATGTGATTTATATGGTATTGTCTACATGTGGTGGTCCTAAATCAGGGAAACCAATTTGATAAATGGTCTTGCTAAATTAATTTCTCCTCCACAATATTGCTCAGCTGTTTTTCACAAACTGTTTTTGCCAGGTTTGGAAGTAGAAGTTGTAACATTAGATGTTTTAGTTACAGACACACATTATTTTCTAGTTTTGAGTTTGGGAATTTGCAAAACACTTGCAATGAAAACAGGCCTTGCAAAAAGGAGAGTTGTCATAGAATGCGACAACTGACTGCTAAACACTGCTGGGCACATAGTCATGGTAGGGGGCTCATCATCCACAGAAAATAGAGATTTAAATGATTGCTTTCCTTTTTTATAAACACAAGGTTTCTTTGAATCATTGAATTAGAGTGAAAAATTGAAAATAAAGCTCTCTTCTCACCTCGCCTTGCTGCTCCCTCCTCACCACATATTCTCTGTACACGAGGGTGGATAATTGGGGATGCAAGGAGATTCTGTGTACTGTGCCCTGTTTCCAGTTGGTTTGGAATAGACACATCTTCACATGATGGTACAGAGCCAGCTTGTTGAATTGATGCCCATATAGGAGAGTCATGGCTCCACGCCAGGCACTCGAGAATCTGTTCCTCAATCTTATGAAAACAGTGAAATGTATGTTGTTAGTGGTTTGGAGCTGAACTGGTGTTAGACATTTTCTATCTTATATCAGTGTGCACAGACAGAACGCTGCCTGTGGAAAGCACTGATTGCTGCAAGTGATACAAACTGGATAATACTCAAAGTCCTAGTAAACAAAATTAACATTATCATCACACAAAAGACAAGTATAAATACCGCCCTTGTGCAAGTTAAACAAAGTTGAGAGAGTGGGTAAAATGACATAATGTTGTTCTAGAAAATTTGCATACTCCCCCTGGGGTTTAATATAAGTGAATCCTCCTCCCTCCATCGAAATTCCACATTAGGTTCATAATTTCCTTTTCAAATTTTGGTTTTTGACACCCCTGTGGGCTGGGAGTGGTTATTTTCTAGGATCACACATTTTCAACTTTTTTCCACAGTCATATCGGGACCACATAATGTTCTTGGCAGAATACTGCAAGATTATACATACATAATTCAGATGTTTCACAACATCTCTTGAAAGTCCATCCTCTGCTTTGATGAACACTTCAATGACCTTGACAAAGTGGTAAGGACTGATATTGAAGATTTCAATCATCCAAGGAAAAGTCCTGATAAAATAAAACAATGTCATTTAGGTAAATTAACATTCAAGTTAACCAGCTGCCTCACTAAATGGAAGGTGGGTCTGGTGTATCCAATGGCCTCCACTCTGGCCAGCCACCCTGTAGATAAAATCAGCCCCCATGGCCGGCAAATCCCCGCCACCCAGCCGTGAGTCCCTATTCCAGGGACCCGCAACACTGATGACTCAATGGGAGAGGAACGTAGAGGGTTGGGTGGGGTAGTGGGAGATTGCCAAAATAACTGCTATCAACTGCTCCACGCCAACACAGCCACCACGAAAGCCTCTAAAGAGAACTCAACGATCCTGGCTGTGACAACCAACGACGTTTCCATGGGAGCCTGCACTTGTGAGTTTGACTGCTGACTGGCCAAGACTGCTAAGCTCGATGCAGTTAACTTTGTTAAATTTTCATTTAACTAATTTTAATTTTTTTATTCTACTTCACTGAAAAATTGAGTAGTTAAGGGCTACCTTTGTGAGTTGTAAGAGAAGATGATTATTTCCAAACAACAAGCCATCAGGGAACAATGAAAGGAATCCTGCTCCAGCAAACTCTGCAAAAAAAAGAAAATGGCTTGTCACCAAAACATGTTCTTGCAAAGTATTTACTTAAGACTTAAATCAGATTATCAAAGATGGTTCTTCACTGCAATGGTTTGACAAAAAGTGCTTCCAGACTTTTCATCTGAATGGTCACACTACAAGGCTGTGCTCTCAAAAAATTGAAGCGAGCCCAGTGCTCTGAATTTGTGAAACCCAGTGTGCCCAGCATATGATTTCCATGAAAAAGAAAAAGTTTTCTAGTCGCGCGAGAACAAAAGTTAGGCCCCACCACAGGCCACTGGGCTCTGCTAGAGCACAGCTTTGCACTAAAGTACTTTATCAATGACTCGAGTTAGAACTGCATTGAATACCTTCGTAATAGCACTCAGGAGTGTAAATGTTAACGCTCTCTAAGACAGACACCTTTGAGACTTGGAATATGTGTCCTTCTTAGAGAAATGTCCTATAGTATAGAAAGTCGACTAATATAAAGGAGTAAGGAAAGACAGGGACCAACTTTAGATGTCCATTTTAGCCAGCTTTCCATCCTAAAGAGGTGTCCATTAAGAACGCATGGACTGTAAACAGTATCAGAGATCACACTGATTACAAAACTTACAGTCATATCTAGATGTCCCTGTAGTCTTCTCTGCTCCAATATTGTGATACTTTCAAGAACCTAAAAATAAAAGTGCTTGGTTAAAGACTTTAAGTTGACAAACAAAGGGGTAAACTTCTTTAAGACATTACCTTGTAGTAAAGAATCTCTGCAAGTTTAAGCCTCTTGGTGGCAAACTCTTTGGTTGAACAGGGAGATTTTGGTCTGTCCGGGGATGGCTAGAAAGAAAACAAACATACTTAACACTACTCTGGAAAAAAGTTTCTCTTACTGCATTTAAATAACTCATTAAAAAAATAATTATAGTAAAACGATTTCTTGGGGCTATGTTTCAAGAAATGCCCCAATTTATTTGCCCTTTCATAGGCTAATGAATTTCTTCAAGAGAAAGAACGAACTGTCCAGATGCAAAATGACCGTGAAAAAAGGATGGAAGCAAACCCTTGACTTTGGATTCATTACTGACCTGTACATACTCCCTAAGAAATGTCTCTCCGAGAGTCGTAACTCGACTCTCAATTGCTTCCTGGGGATTCCTGCTGCATCCACTACAACAACACAAATTGAGAACTGTCAACAAGCAATCTACAAATTTACAGATGTAGTTTGTAAAAAGTTACAAATACCGAGTTGAAACTTACGAGAAGATCTTTAGAAGGCGATCACTTGGCCCAGCTTTCAAACCTGCCAGAAGAGCTTGCAGTCTGCTAACTGACTGAGTTGCAGTGGACACTGGAGTAATCCTAAAAATAAAAACCAAAATGTCTTAATATTCAAACAAATAACAAGAAATATATAATGTATTGGATAGGCATAATTTAAGAATAATTTAATGCTAACACAGTCTTGCAAGTTGCGACAGTAGATTCTAGGCTATGCCTTATCCGAGTTTGGTTTCAAAATTTGGGAAAACTTACTTTGGATCTTTTTCTTTCAAATATCTTCGTCCAGTCAGTGGTGTTGAAGGTGCAAGGCTTCTAGTCTGATACAAAAAATAAAAAAGAACACTTAGTATAGAAAGAAGAATCTTGCCTTCTTCTTTCAAACAAAAATCAATAATTGCTTGGTTGCTATTTTAAATAAAAACAAAGTAAATAGATTTTAAAACACCTTACCCTTGTAAAATGTTCCTGCAAATTCCTTCTTAGTCCCATCCTAAAATGAAATGAAATGCACTTACACACAAGTTAAAATACTCAAATAGCTATAGATACAGGCATAAAAATTAACATTGCCTGTATTATTAACTGTTGATGCATCGCCAGTCAACAAGGTTTTCAAAACAGATATCCCATTACTTTCCATCTCCATATGAAGGAATCAAATCAATTTTTTACACAATGATTTAGCTGGGAGCAAAAGCTTTTAAGAACAAAGACTGCCTCCTTGTACAAACCTCTGTTGGCCATCCACTTCTGTGAAACTGTCATTCTTGGCTGGTGTGCCAATTTCTAAATGGGCCTCGTCATCTAGAAAGATTCTCTCATCAAAATCTCCAACAGACAACACGTATTCTTCATATTCTTTGTTGACTGACTTGCTAATGACGAAACAATATTATTATATCAATCATGTTTCATATGAACTGGACATTTGTGGTCATTTATGTTTTCAAAACAAACGACAGATTCCCATTAGCCTCTTTCCTCTTTGAAAGCGATGTATTTTAGAAAAACAAAAATTCTTACCAGTTCTGTTCAAAATTGCCCTGATCAAGAATGCCTGTCAAGTTCTCTTCATTTCCCTTGAGTGTCTAATGGAAACAAAGACAAAAGAACACAAATGAAGATACATATGACTCAGGGTTCATCTTAGAAATTGTGTGTCAAGTTTCCTTTTTTCTGTGAGGGGAGAAGCAGTATGAGTAGGGCCTTTTAGGACTTTTTTAAAGTTGAACTTCCTTGCTTAAATGAAACCAGGGTGTAACCATTTTGGTATCTTACGGAGGTTGGTAAAATAAAACCTGGAAGAAAAGATCTTTTAGCAATAATTTAGCAAGACAAGTCTCACCTTCTTCTCAAAGAGCTGCTTTATAAATGGTTTCCAGTGATGTTCCTTGATTCCTTTAGCTTCTAGAACAATTCCTGTTAATGAACAGAATGAAACACTTGTGTAATTAACTTTGGGACAGACAAAAAAAATATACAAGTTGCATAATTTTATTATACAGTGCCAAAATCATCTAACATGGCTGGTCTATTAAATCAAATACGGTAAACTGTGGCTTATACATCTTCATAAGGAGTGTTACAAGGGCTTAAAAATTGGGAGATGCTTGTATCCAAGGGGGCTTGTAAATGGTAGAGGGTGAGGGTGGGAGGGGCAGTATAATATTAATCAGGCAAATGTTTTGGTTTACAGGTAGATGGACCTATAACTGCGGTGGCTTATAAGTGGTAGTTTGTGAAAAGTAATGACTGAAAATGACACCTTGATGCTTCTTGCAAAGCCATTCAACAACACAAGGTACTTCAGCTGGAGGCTTGAAATCTCTGTTTCCAAATTCCTGCGGTAAACCTAGGGAAATAAAAGCAAAAAGTAAATCAACTTGCATTTCTAAATTCCTTTTATATAACAACACAAAACAGCAAATCAGAGGTTTAATGCTACGATGCCACTTGTATTAGGGAATGTACTTGCAGGAGTGAAGCTTTTTGAATAAGCACCATTACTCGGATGGGGAGGAGTGGGGCATCGGCCTTGTGACTTTAATCCAAGCCCAAGTGTATAGTCTTGATACCCAGGGGGAAGGGGTCAGTGCTTGAAGCTGTTTGCTAAGCATGGCAAGATGACAAAAAATTTTGGCGACTTATATTGCAGCGAAAGCTGCCATATTGGCAACGTATGTCGGGTAGTCATGTGCCAAGTCATAGCAAGGCTGCTTCACAAGAAAATTTTTTGGGAGCCCTTTGGGCTCCTAAAATAGAAAGTTAGGAGCCCGAGCCACATTTCCAGGAGCCCGTTGATTGATAAACTTAAATAAGAAAGCAGATAATTGAAACTCGATTTGTTTGAGTTTCAAATTTTCAGAAAAGTGTTTGTTTGTCTACTTTTATCAGCGGACCAGGCGCCTGTTAGGCAGCAGCCTTACATAGTGTTTAACGGTGTTTTTTTGTTGTTTCTGGTCTTTCTAAAGATAAAGAGAGAGAACAACTTGCATGAATTATTTACTTCCCCATTTTCGTTATTATCTGTCTCTTTTACCCTGGTTATCAGGAAAACTAAATATGCAACTTTTCCAGTTGTGAAAAGAAAGCCGGAAAAAACATTCAGGCTTGCTGGGATTCCAACCCTGACCTCTGTGATACCGGCGCAGCACTCTGACAAATAATATTTTTTTCTTCATCCCGCAATTCAAATAAATGAAAGTCATATATTCATTATTTTAATCTGAAATCACTCATTTGCATTTCGTACCAGCTTGAGGCCAAGGAAAGCAGTTCTTATTCTCAAAAAATATATAGAAATTACCTTCAAAGTTTGGATTCAGCAAATTCTGGCGATTCTTCGTATATAAAGCGTTTGAGTACAGCAAGTCAAGGCAGCACAAGAGCAAATGATAAGAATTCACCAAATCATCACTGATCGCAGGAAAATTGCCTGTTGAGTGAAAATAGTGAATGTTAGGTGTACAACTTCAACACAAGCACAACTGCTGCTGCGCACAACTCAAAGTGCTCAGGGCATCCAACCCAGATAGCAGTAATCATGCACAGCACACTGAGAAAAATTGACAGAAGGCAGTGCCGGATCCAGACCTTGAGATGACAGGGGGGGGTGGGGGTGGGGGTGTGCGGTCTCCAAAAAAGTTTTTTTGGCCCTTTGGGCCTCAGTTTGGTCTAAAAATGAGGGGGTGGGCGGGCGGGCGCCTCCCCTCGATCCGCCACTGGAGGGAAATGGTCAGAAGTTAAGTGAACTAGATGAGATCCTCTAGATGATATCAAATTGGACTGCTGTACCCTGTGGTTTGTGTAAAAAAGGCTTCACAGAGTATTTAAAGAAAGCATTTCCCTGCAGGGGTTGCAATAACCTTTAGTTTAGGTGGGTAGTTGAGGTGAAGCAAGGAAGAAGTGAGATTTTCCTGGGTAGCATACCCACAGATACCCCTACTCAGGAAACTTTTGAAATTCAGCACTCCAGGAGATGCATTTTTAATCATTCTATAGCATGGTTAGAGGCTTTACTACATTATAAGGCTGTGATATTTTCCACTGATTTAAACACAAATTGGCATAAATTCCTGAAGAGGAGTACATTTTCAAACTTTCTATTTGTAGAGATTATAATGCATCCTTCCAACCCAACTGAACAGTCTATGGGCAGGTAGTCGGTTTTTCACAAGCAGGTAGCCGGCCAAAACAGCCGGCTTGTAAGCTATCCCTAGCTGGCTACTTTCATCCCCCTCTACCATAACTGCTGACAAAAAATAAGCACCTTTGAATAAAATTGCAAAGCATCCGTTTCCCAGTTTTGAATGACATTGAACGTATATTTCAAACAGGTTTAGATGTGCGAAACGTTCGCGCCGTGCAATGTCGTGGAACACCTGGGACATTTTGATGGCATTGTTCCCAGTCTTGCTTGTATTCTGACAAAACAACATGGTGTTCACGGTGGAAAATACCTCTTGAAAACCCCTGGAAACACCATTTCTGAGACTCTAAATTTCAAAATATCCCTAGATGCCTCAGCCCTCAAGAACTTGTGCCTTTGGTGCAAGTTCCAAAACTGCCTACTATTTATTAACAGCCTGCCACTTAAAAAGTTTTTGACAGCCCTGAGAAATCCCTGCGCAGTGGATGAAAATTATAGCATTATCTTTAATATAGCGACGTTTCAGCAATGCTGTCTTATTCGGGGTACAAACTATATGGCTGGTTGAATTTATCGCACTGATAAAATGGTAGAAGACATCACAATTATTCGTTTCTTGTTTGTTTTCAAACAACTTAGGATGGATAAAATAGACTTTCTACATGGATCAAATCGACAATGTTGATGGATCGAAACGACCAAACTCCATTTAAGGAAGAGTGCCCAATCATAAAGGTAGTATAATTTTTTTATTGATTTTCACCACGGTATTTTATAGTATTTGCCAACTTTTCTTACAGTAAATAAATTGCGGTGTTGGGTAGACCGCATTGTCCCCTCATCTTGGTCTCCCTTCCAAATTCTCCAATTTTAAATGCCAGTGTCACAATCCACAATAATTGTTGTTGAGGTATTTTTGAAACAATGTTATCTCTGCACTTGACATTTGCTAAATATTGTAAAGATAGCTCCAATGAATAGACTGCAAAACTTGCAGCTTGCACATTAGGACAATTTCTGTCAGAGATTAACAAAACAAATACCTTGAAAGAGCAACAAATTTACTTTCTGTAAAAACAAAGGAAGTATCAAACTGTGCATTTCCTTTTGATAGAAAGAGAAACAAATCTGCCATTTGCTACTAAAAAGAGACATTTCTAACTATCATCTTGCAACCCAAGTCTAATTAAAATGTGTGGTTGTTTTGCAATAACCATCACAACAATTTTGAAGCAAAACATCTAGAGGTGCCATTAATAAATTACAGAACTGTTAAATGTCGCTCTGAATATTTATCACCTACAGAGCTGTCTGCTGTAAATATAAATAGTCAAATCCTTTGTGTGAAATATGTAAAAGGAAAATCAATTTCACAAGAGAAGTTTAATTGTAAACAAAAAATTTACAGAATTTCATTTGTAGCAAATTGACAATATCTTGATCATTGTCTTTCATCACAAATGATGTTGATGACATTCCGAGAAATGCAAAGACTTGTAAAGGGCCAAAATTAATTCTCTATAGCAGAGTATTATGTTCAAGTTAAATTATGACTCTACTGTTAGAGTTAATCCAGCCAGAACACACATTCTATGCATACAGAAATGAGAAGTCACAATTCAGATCGAGTAGATCTAGTTCAAGCCTGAACATGCCCAAGAACTAAGCTGAATATTATTTTGACCCCTTTGCAAAATATTCCCTGAAACAAGTACTGCAACATATCAAAAGGGAGATGAAGTTGGATTACCTACGTAATGACAGGTTGAACAATTGACAAACTGTGTAAAGCTATGTCAAAATGTCTCTATTGTTAAAATAACTGACCCCTTAAACAGGCCTAGACATGTTTCCCACCCATGTCAGTACACTGCCGAAAAAACTTAATTTAAAATACCACAGGTCACTTAACATCTACCCTCAGTCCCTGCATGAGTAAGTTTGAACAAAAAACAACCAAATATTTTCTTCCAAATCACCAATCCTAAGAGCCAGCCACTTAGGATTAGCTGTGGACTTGTGGGGTGAGGGCAACAGTCCAATCAAAGCCTGTGTGTAATCACTGAATAATTGTGTGCAATCAACCAAAGAAAGAATACTCTTGTAAAATTCCCTGCACTCTACTGCAAATTATCTGGAAAGATTTATTTACTGATAAATTTGCTTCTAGCAGAAAAAAAGAATGAAAATTGCCTAAAGCAAAAACATTTTTCCGGTGTGCATAAAAGAGGTTTCACTGGAAACATTTTTTTATTTTATTTCATCAGTTCCCATAATGAAGTGCTATATTAATCCTGATCTACTGACAATCAAAATATTGAGATTTCAGCCAGGGAAGTGTTTACCTTAGGCTAAAAACAACAAAGTAATCCAGAATTCTGCAGTTTTTGCCCCTGCAGTATGCTATCCTTTCATACTGTACTATCATGCGTAAATCCCTTACGAGTTGTTTATGTCGCATGTGACACAGAAATAGATTTTTTAAAAAACTCGAAACACATGACAAAACCGCAGCAGTCAAGAATATTGATTTCACTTTAAGTTCAAATTTCACAAGATATAAATGACACCACCCCCAAAAGCTAAGGAAGTTTTTAAAGCGAGCTACCCTAGATAATGCATTTAAGGTGCTTTAAAAATGGAATCGCAATAAAGGAAAATCTCTTTTCTGGCTCTTGAATATATACAAAAAAAACATCATCACCCGGCCTACTATCAGCAGGTCTACAGACCTAGTAGAAAAAAAGCCCAGTTCATTATTATGGAAGTTTACATGACTCTAGTGAATTTAAAATTGCCGTTCTACTAATAAAAATTTTAAGCTGCTTGGCTTGCTGGACGAGACGTGAAGCAGAAGTGTCCCATATGACTTCTGAGACCATTTCGCGCCAACGCGACACGAACAAAAGCATGTAATATTCGAACGTCTTTGAGTCTGTCCGAGTTTAGTGACAGCGAGTCAAGACGGTTTACACTCCTGCTTTTTCTAAAATAAACAGCTGACTATCTCAAGCCGTAGGAAAAATGAAAATTGGCAGCTCGCTTACCTTTAGCTTGAATGTATAAAGTCCAGCAGAAGGCGAAAACATCACCAACAGAACACGGCTGTTTTCTGCGAGGGATAAAAGAATTTGAAATGAAGAGATAATATGCCACGAGTTTCTCATTTAAATATCACATGTTTACAGCTGAGGACCTGAGAAAGGACAGGTTATTTTTCGATAGAAAGTCTGAGAGAAGCAAAAACAACATGAAACGAACAACGTTGTAGATTTTCAGGTCAACCGTAACAGGTTTACATTCAATAAGCCAAACTCGTCACGTTATTGTTTACAAAGGCCGCGCAACAAATTTGTGTATTTACCTTGATTTTCGGCCTCTCTGAGTCTTTGTGTTTTCCTCCCGTGGATCTTTAAAGATTTCCAGGAAAATAGGTTCGTACTTCTTAAATATGACAGTGGAAACGTGGAAGTTCCTTTCCAGTAATTCAATTTTCTTTCGAAAGTCCCCCGACGCGTTCGACATGTCCAACCACTTCTTCATTTTGCTGAAGAATTGAATGAGACTACAGAGAAAGCAAAACAGAAAACATTACAAAGGAAGCTCTATTGCATACGAATCGAAACCGAGATGGTTCGTGTTCCTAAACAGATCGACAAAATCTCACCTTAGTTTTGCTGCTCTGAGCAATCGCGTTAGTGAAACACAGTTGCCTTCGACCGTACCCGAACTATCAACGGTCGGAACAACGCTTTTGCGGCAAGCGACGTACAAAGCACATGCCAACCAGTGAAGACTTTCCCCCTGAAACAGAAAATGTTGAAATATAAAATATCTATTTGTCAGAGGCGTCTGATTGCAATAAAATCGGGCTCAAAGCCGTAACTTCGTAAACCGTTCCCGGGTTTACGATATTCGAAGCAATCATGTAACGAACGCAAACACTCAAACAAAGCGAGCTCACCTCTAAAGTATAGTTTGTGCTTATCTTTTGGTACGAAGACCAAGCTTCTTGGCTTGTGTCTTCATCCATGTTAAGATCACGGCACAGATCTTGAAATCTCTCCCAACTATTCGCTTCCTCATCGTCGCTAGAACTCGCCATTTTGGTTTTACTTATCCACAGGGCCAAACTGAAACGCAAGCATAAAGCCGAAATGGCGGGAAAATGCGGTGAGGGCCAAATATAGAAAGGCGACGAGTGATGTTCGCATGACGACAGCGCGTCAGCTGTCAATAACAATGGGAATTGTAATGATTCTTTTCCTTATTTGGTGGTAATTTCCCGCCCTTTTTAAAGTCCTAAACGGCTTCAGCTGTGTTGACGAAGTAGTTGCCGCCAAATTTTCGCAAAGCCATGCATGGCATGTTTCCTCTGTAATCTGAATTTGAACACGTTCTTCTGATCAGCCATGAAATGTAACAGGAAAATTTAATCCATGTTCCTGGAAACTATTTGACCTACTTCGACAAAACGTCTGTTTCCCACGGCAGATGTGAATGGCGTCCATTTGTGCTCCCGAGGAGATCTCGCTAAGTACCTTTCTGGCACGCGCCATCACTGCACGATAGATTTTACAGAATAGAGCTGTGGCAGATTTGATTATTCGGTGGATGACTGAAATCGCAGATTATTTTATGTCCGGCTAATTTAAACAAGATTAAACGTACAGGAATCGTCTTATCACGGCTTTCAGTGTGTTTGTTTCGAAAGACCATGATTATTTAAAAATGCTGGACAGGCAAATATTTTCAAAACTGATCAATTGTTCTCGATCTTTCAGTTTGTAGTCCTTCTCAGAATTATGGAAAATTAACTTGAAAGTCAAGTCTGAATAAAAAAATAAAAATAGACAACAAGAAAAATATCTAAATATTTTAATTGCGCCTGCCAAGAGCCGATCGCTAGAAAACTAGGAATGAACTTTGAAAATCCGTCGTGCATGGTTAACGTTACTTCTTTGTTAAAACCGCGTATTAAATGAGGCAGGCATTTAGAGTGCTTTTGTTTTGTTTTGTTTTGATTTATAATCACAATGCAAAGTCTAAATATTTAAACCCAAGAGAAAGTCTTGCGGCCCTTTATTAGCTTTAAATTTGTGTCAAGTTTCCTGTGCCACTGCGTGAACAATTCATCCTCGCTACCGCAACAATATATTGAGTGGTAATTATGTTTCTTCCGATCCGTGAAACAATGTCTGCCCCCCCAAACAGACAATACTGTCAAACGACCTTACATTAACGAGGAGATAAAGCCAAACCACAACAATTTTGTCTTTTTGAGTTCCTATGGTTGCAAATGGACTCAACACTCGCGACAATTCAGACCTCCTTGGGCTAGCCAAAAAAATAGATCGTTGAATAGAATGGTTGGGAAAAGAAACCGCATTGAATATTCTCTGTTGTAAAAAGTACTTCCAATTCGAAGAAGGAAACAACTTGTCACATAAAGTTTTAAGAACTGTAGGAATGATTATATCCGGGGGGTCCGCAAATGCGGTGTAAATAAAAATGTAATAATGATCACCTTGACCTCTAAGATGTCTCTAAGCGTTGGGCGAAATGTAACGCAACCGTTAGGTAAAGATGCAGATGTGGTCGATCGGTAACTGATCGTTGTTGGATTATGGCCCTTTCTAGTGCTTCGGTCGTGGAGCGGAATTCTTATTCTCGAGCCTTATCACCAGTTGTGGGAATTTCTATTCTCTTTGGCCCCGGGGAGAGGCTTCGTTCTACAGCTCATTCCTGGTTAGGAGGTGTAATTTTCATCCTGCTACTCTTTGGAATGACATTTGTTGCAATCATCGGCGTGTTCGTTCGAAAGACAATCGACACGTGGATTCAATTTTCGCTTTACATCGTTCCTCTTATCGCCTTGGTATCCGGCTTTTATGTGTACACCTCATCAGCGTTCAACAAGTTGCTAAAAAGGAGACTGTCCCGGAAGTCATTGGTGGAGGGGTTTCTGGAGTCTGATCAGGGAATCCCATGGCACGAGTCGCAAAGGGCTTCGTGGTTAAGAAAAGCGGCCATTAAAAACTGTTTCTATCCTTTCAGTTTGGAGATTTATCAATGGACCGCCTACGTGATTTTTCACACAGTTTTCAAAAGTGACAGCTTTGCAGGTTCATTGAGCCACACCGAAGTAATTGAAATGGGATCTCGAACATGGCTCCTGCTTTACTGTTCTTTTTGGGCGATGGCCATGTACATCACGGGATTCGTAGCCTACTCTTTTATCCTGATCAGCCGACTCACCGTTCGAGATGTCATCAGTTTCATGTGCATGTTTGGGGATAGTCCTTTTCTGCTGTACAGACCCTCTAAAGAGCGAAATCCAGTCCTGGAAAGTCTGAACCCTGTGAAAAGAGTATTTAATGCTATAGCTGGGTTTCTATTCATGGACTTGTGTCAGACTGGAAAAGATATTGTTCTGGTCTACGAAAAAGATGTCCCTGCTTTGAGTAGATTGCATGGAAATCCAGGTGGCAATTCACCCCATTCAGATCTAAATAGTGTTGATGGAGATAACTACTGGGATTCTGGGGAATCCAATTTTATTTCATCAATTGATGTGTCTGGACCAACAGTAGGTAGGATAGGTGTGCCTGGAAGACCTCAAGTAAATCCTGCAGATGCATGCAAATATCTCTCCAATATTGTGGGAAGCATAGAACGGCTTGCAAGTCTTTTCCAGCCATTCATTGTACTCCTGGCATTTTTTTCGGTGGCTAATCTTGTGACCCATGTGGGAGCCATTGTGAGCCTTGTGGAAGATTTCAAGTCATCTCATTGGTGGACATTTGTAAGGACATGTATATGGCTTCTGCTGTCTTTGCGCCTGCTATGGAGTGCAGCAGCAATCACCAAAGCTTTGTCACACGTGTCACAACATCTAAACTATTTGTGGTCAGTGGGACAGCTTCAAGGAAACTCAGAAGAGTGGCAGAGGTTTTTCAAGTTGGTGGAAACATTCCAGTTAGGTACCAAGACATATGGTTTTCCTCTCACCTTGAAACAAGCTGCATCAATTGCAACATTTATCAACTTTGCACTTATCATAGTACTATCAATCATGAGGCCATCTGTGCACTTTCCAGCAGAGGGGCGGATTTAGGGGGTGAAGAGTGGGTGGCTAACCTCCCCTTTCAGGGCATCATTCACCTTCACTGACTTAGGCCCATAGGCAGGTAGATACTATTGATAGCAAAACAGTATGCTCTTTCATCTATCTTGGTATCCTGAGTGGTATGATGGAGGGCAGGGAAGTGGGGACCCATGAGAATAGGTGGCAGGACAAGGAGGGCGAGACAGAAGAGAAAAGGGCGGGATGTGGGAGTTCTCAAAGGGTGGGAAGCACAAGAATTACTGGGAGTTATTCAACAATACTAATTAGTGATTATTGCTGTTGAAAATGGGCTCAAGGGAGGAAGCCTGGAGGAAGCCAAGAAAAAAAGGGCAGGAAGTTTGGACCACCCTTTCTACCAACTACTATTAACTGTACATGAAAATATGTCAGTACCATGATGTAGAACAAAAAGTTCAATGAGTCTCAGCTAGGGCCATAGGATTATGAGGATCATTTTTGTAATCTCTGACATAAACGTAACAGAGTAAATTAATGTTGCTTTCAAGCCAAGGAGGACCTTAATCATCCCTGTTTCCTGTTTGTAGTTCTCAATGGTATCACTACTTTTGACCAGTATTCCAGAGTTATGGTAGAAAACTGGGATAAATTTAGGTTTCTGGGAAACTGCCTACCTACCCCTCCCTTAAGCCAACATTAACACTTACTTCTCACTTAGGGCAAACTGTTGGCTTACAGGAGAGGAAGGTGAGCAGTTTCCCAGAAACCTAAATTGATCCCACTGCCACATAATAATTGTTGTTCCTTTTAGGAGAGAGGGCATCAGGTAACTCTTGGCTTGAAAGGGTTGGGGGCAGTCTCGCTTAGGGGTGTAAATTTCAGATTTTGGTCTCACTTAGCGTCTTCTGGGCAAAACACCATCATAATTATTTAGTCGAGAAGGTCTCGTTTAGAGTTGCATGTGAAAAAATATAAAAATATATATATTGTCTGTGTTTTAACATGGTCTCTTTTAGGGGTCCAAAAAAGCATGGGCCACGCCCAGATCAGTCTCCTTTAGGGGTTTAATTCAAAATTTCTGACAAGCTCCCCAGGACTGTGACCTGTGACCAGGCAATAGTTTCTATAGAGAGAGAGATACCAGTAATAGGGAGAGTGATATGATCTCATGCTATAGTAACTGAAATTGTGCACACATAATGTGATTCTCAATAAAGTCAGTTTACAATGGAGTGTTCTTTATAGTTTTAGGATAAGTGTGATATACATCTCATATCAGTGGTTTCCTCTAGTGAAGGAAGAAGAAGTGAGAAAAGAGAGACATATCAGTGGCAAATTCAGATTTTTAAGCAAATGAGGGCCCACTCATCTAGACCGTAAGATAAGAAGGGGGCCCAGCCTTGAAAATAGTTTTTCTCAGCCCTGCGGCAATTAGTTTGGCCAAAAAATAGGGTGGGGGCCTGGGCTCCTCGCTACCTCCCTTAGATCCATCAGTGCATATGACAATTCAAATTCTTTGCAAATGAGGAAATTCTTGTTATAGATGACTTACTGAGTGACTTCTGAAAATATGGTGGTACCTTCTGTAGGTACCAAGGCAAAGATTACATACAACAAAAGAAACAAAACAATTATAAACAATAAAGCCCCCAGGAGAACTCTATTGTTTGGTTCCTTTGCCTCTTTTGTGATCATGGTAACTGCAGAAAGACCCCATATTGTTGCCTTGAAACTGTCCCCATGATTCATGGCAACAAAGCTATTGGCTGTTAAATGTAAGGAAATATCAGTTTTTCACTGCCAATTTTGCAGTTTTGTGGCCAAAAACGTAGGACATAAATAAAAGTGTAGACTACAAATCAGCCGGGTGTTTTTTCCTCAAAATCGGTTTAGCGTAGCTCAAGAGTCTCACAAATGCGGAGCATGCGAGCCTCACACTCCCGTAGGGCATGTGAGGTGAGAGAAAAAAACGGACTGTTTTCCATACAATGAGATCATTCTGACCAGGGGCGCATGTTATTGTCTGCTTCAAGCCTTGGCTTCACACCTTGTGGTAAATGCTGTATTCAGTAATTCGAAAGCAGTCTTAAGCACTGTTTCCCCATGCATAAACTGAGATCAGGCCCAATTTTAGCGGTTCTCATACATTCTCTCTGATGGCTACAGCTAAAATCTTTTCGTTTCACCTTGCCTGCCGGAATGTAATTTTCAAAGCGCAACGAAAATAGAGCCTGATCTCAGGTTACCCCATGCAATGTAGTGTTTTCTGGAAGTGGAAGTATGCCACTGACAAAGCCTATGCCTGCTTGTGAAAGAGGGAGAAAGCCAAAAGAGCCAAGTACTTCAGATGATTGTAGAATGTGAGGCTTTTGCTTCAAAACAAAGTTCAGCAATTTTAAGAGTGGTTGGATAAGCCCTGAAATTATGTTTGTTGCCCCTACCAGAAAAAAATGAAACATTACCAAAGTCAGTTGACCTTCTGAAAAATTAACTTTTTGTTGTCCTTGAAGAAGGAGAATCTTTCTCCAGAAGAGTTTGCTCACCATACAGAACAAAGGTTTGAAACTGCGCTGCAATGCTTTCCCAAAAACTGACCATGCCAATAGACAATGAACAATATTAGTGCGATTGAATAGAGCCAAAACCTGTTGGTAAGACACAAAAATACATCCTTTCCTCTAAAAGAAAGCTTCCCTCTGCTCCGGTATTTGAAAAAATCCCAGTTCTCGTGTGAGCAAATCCAGGCCTTCATCAACTGCAATTTACAGCGAAAGCTTTATAGGTCAAGAATTTGACTTTTTTTGTGGGGGGAGGAGGTATGGGTGATTTGGCTGATGTAAGAATTGTTTTTGCCCAAACCTCTGGAGATAAAATTTTTTTCCCCGACTTATAACATTGTAAGATTTTTTTTCAGCCCTATAGACCATGAGAGATATTTTTTTTTCGGTGCAGGATACTTTTCCCCAAGGTATTTCCTTGCAAGATTTTTCTTTCTCTCAAATCAGTCCACAGGATATTTGTTTCTGAAATCACCCATATCCCCCACCCCCTCCCCTCCAAAGAATCATAAAGGTTGGGAACATTACGAATGACTTGTTAAAAACACAACTTGACAGCTTGCATCAAAATTTAGCCAATAGGAAATGCCCATGCCTGGAAGAAGCGGTAATTTGAACAAATACAATGTATGCCAAACATACAGTGCGTATTCTTAGCTTCTCTCCCCAGTCCTGCTTCCCATTTTCAGGCTCGCTCCAGGCCTTTTGTTCGACTGCTCTCCCATACTTAAATAAGCAAAAATATGGACTGTTTTGAGGTGAGTCTAATTAAAGTGCTGTTCAATCTATATGAACCATATAATTTAAGACTGACATGATCTTAAACTATCATTAAAGAGAAAATCATTGCATTCTTTTAATACTCATCTTTGATTCCTAAAAGAATTATCATGTCATACATCCTAAAACCTTCCCAAAAGGGCCTTGCATTTCATTGACAATACATCTAACCCATATATTGTAGAGTGTGTTCATTTTAAGGTGATCTTCAAACAAGTATTCTGTCATATCAAGTATGTAAGCAATGTAGCCTTCAGTGCCTACTTCTTGAATCCATACTTCATACTTAACATCCTTAGTGGCCAAAAATGGTAAATTTATGGGTGGTTTCCATGACAACCACAAAGCTGGCTTAGCCTCTTTAAATGGGATTTGGCAAGTTAGGTTAATTACCTTGCTTGGATATAGTTTACCGTTAAGGTCAACCTCCTTTTTAGTAGTAAGCAGTTTCTGCTTATTTTTAGTGGATTCCAAAACTGACAGAAGTGATTGAATATCAACAATAGTATCTTGGTAAATTCTAAAAAGCCAGTAAGGATCACTGCAACACAAATGTTGTGGGACCTCCTCTGTATTCATAATGTCCTCCTGTTCTTCCGAGCTAAGATGGTCAATTCCTCCAACTTCTGGTGCCTCATGAGGATAGGTAACAGTATTCTCCTCAATATCATTCCTCCAAGAGGCATAGATAACATTCATATCTGGTAATTCTACCATAGTACGATATGGCATGTAGTGATTGGGATTGATGCCAAATGGGAAGAGTTCAATGAGACTTGCACCAGGTGGTAAAAACATAGCCATAATCAACATTGAGCCATGCATTCCAATAAGAGCACTGGCCTTACTTATAATCTGTACCTGCTCCTTGAAAGAATGTGTAGCCATGCTTACTCGAATCACCGGCTTATTGAACTGCTGGGCAATCGCTAATGACAAATCCAGTTCATTGGTTATCAAACGATTGTGTTCTCTTGAACATAACACAATATATGAAGAATCAGAGGAGTTGGATGCCACATTGTCTATTCCCAACCTTCTTTTGACAAAACCAGTAAAGTGTCGCAAATATCGCCCAGTCAAGGAGACATGAGGCAACTGCCCTTGTGGTTCCCTAAAACCATACTGATACCAAGTTGTGTACTTTGATATGCCGATAACTCCATGGCGAAAACATGTCAGGTGATTTGCTTTCTGAAGTTCTTTTTTCAAAATCAATGTTTTCTTTGTAAATAGTTTGTACAAATCAAAATGAGTTCCTTCATTCCGGCCATCCATCATAACAAGGGTAAATCCCAGATCGACAGAGAGACTATTCCGTGAAAACTGTCTTAACGTATGATACAAGGGTAAAAGATCATCGTGAAAAACGTGCATGATATTTTCCGGATTAAACCTATGAAATATCAAGCTAAAATCGTCGATCACCGTGACATTAGGGAAGTTGTCAACGGAATAAACAGGATAGTCCACATAGTTGAAATATTGAGTATTGTGGTCTTCAACTGAAGACATGTCAAGTAAAGCCGGGTTAAATCGGTCACTTGGGACACCATGAATAATTGTTTCAGGTCCATGAAAAAACAAGTATTCATCTTCAATTGGATGGTAGCACAAATAACGAAACTTGCAAATCCGGGTTGATTTGTTATGACCCGTGCAAAACAGGCTTGAGCCTTCTCTCAAAGATTTCACAACAAGTTTCCGGCTTTCTGTTACATTGAGCGTCTTGTTTTGAGAAGATGAGGTTCCTAGCCATCTGTAGGTGAAGCTGAAGACCAAATAGGATACTAGACCCAACAAAAAGTGAATAAATGCCGGTGAAAACACGAAGATTTTCATTGAAGTACAAATCAAATAGGCCATCGTTCTGGTTGGGGACTGGAGACTACTCCCGTCTTTTTGTCTCGCCAGTCCCCACAGAACGCACCACCGTCGATCGACAATATTCAGACAACAAAACAGACCCATGGCCAAACAGCCAATCACCACAGTCCCCCAAAAGGAAGTCCTTTTAATTCTACCTTAATTAGGGTTACAAAGCAGAATCCTCATCAAACAAGTGAAGGCTTGCATCAATAAATTCTACCGCTGCTTTGACCTTTGAGTTGTTTTCCAAAGCACGCGACGTATATAAGTCTTTTTTTCCCTACAAAGACAGACTCACCCGTGCTCACATGTCCAGGGTTGGTAGTTGTTGGGACTGCTAGGAGTTCTACCTAGATAAAACTAAAAGAAGATTACAAGACAGGAAAACGGAGCACTTCAAATCCATTACAAGTAGCAATCACACATCTGCTATTGCCGACCATGTCACGTCAACTAGTCATAACATGATATGAGACCACTTCTTAAATTTAGGCCAGCCATGTTCTATAAAATTCACAATGACCAAACTGGGATAGACACTGGGAAATATCTGAAGCCGTTGGGTCGAGTCAGCCGTCATGTTAATACTCAAGCTTATAAGGTTCCGTTCCCCTAGGTATTGACCGCAGAGTGACCACTCCATTGACTGGACAATTCACGTAATTCATTTTCAAGGACATGCGTTTGCTAATAGCCCGCTGAATAGAAATTAGGCCTAGTTCAGACGCCTTCCTTTTTATGTGCCTAACCTATTAAACAGTAAATAAGGGTGCGTTTTTTTGGGAGAATCCAAAAACGCATTTGTGATCTCAGATCATATGGATTCTTCACTACCGAAAAAATGGAAGATTCAAAAAAGGATCATTTATCATAACAAGGACATGTCCTCGTGCTCCGGCGTGGGAAAAAACAACAACAGCACACTGATCCTCACGGCGAAGACAAGGAGAAAAATAAAAGCAACATAAGCTGGGTATGAATATACGAAATGT